CCTCCGAGAATATCATTTCAGAAATCTATCGAAAAGCAAAAGTTCGCTAATCAATTTTCACGAGGAAGGAAAATTCATCAGAGAATTCACCGGAAAAGGAAAAATATAATTGATGACTCAGCCATTTTGCGGGGGCTCGGAGGCACTTAATCCGTATCAGACAATCTGATAGGATAACTTTTGCAATGGATTTTCCTCGGGAAAAAACTAGTTGGCAGATTTTTGCACCTCGATGGATTCTTGATCGATATTCTGGTAGGTAATATCGGCGTTTGCCCGTAGTGCGTAATGAGCCATGTGAGTACATGCTATTTTCATCGATTCCATCTCTTTTTATGCACTCACACATGCGTATTCAACAGACGCTCGTTCAGACCACCATGTGTCTTCCAGCTGGTGTACATGCCTAATACCTACTCCGAGCTCGATACGTCGTTGTCGGGGGTCGTATCTTCGACAAAGAACATGTGATTCATGGCCTCATGTTCATGAAATTAGGGTCTTGCGCCTTGATAAACTGTGACACTTTGATTTGACAAAATACGGCTCAAAGCGGTTGCTAAGCACCACCGGACCGGTGGTTGCGAAGCATCTCCTGCTCGAATATGATCTCAGTCCTTCTCAGTCCCTGGCCTGATTGTCGCTTCACCAGGACTCACCTTCTCGTCAGAGGTCGGCGCCTCGGCATAGATCGTTCTATCCTAGGATCAACCAATCAGGTACCCCATCATCCTCTCATGGCGACTTGCCGCAACCGCCTGTGTCCGAACCCCCAGGACCTCACTCTCCCGGAGCTTGGTTCATCGCATGTTCTTGCACTCCTGCCGTACCTCGGCGGTGTCACCTGCGCAACCGTGGCTTCTCGTGCTCGTTGGCGGTATCCGCCTTTGTGTGCCCTTTCTCACTGTTGCAAAGGGCCGGGGAATGAAACGACATGCAACGTTGAGTCGGTGCCTTGACCGCGTCGTTTCTGATGAGATGAGCGTGCTGGCGCACTTTGACTCGCCGTTGCGACACCCCGGTGCTCTTCTGTGGGGGACGACAAATGCAATGTTCCTCGTGGGCCCCCTCGTTGGTGCCGCGAGCTCAGGTACACTGCTTATACTCTATCTCAGCATATAAGCACGGCGAGGAGGCGCAAGGAGAGGCCCATTTGCATCCATCTCCAACACGCACCGGCATGCGTTCCACGTTCCTTCTTGGGGCCTGCTACGCCCTTGTACAAGGCGCTGCTGCGCAGCAAATTTACGACATCGTTCGTGCCCCATACATATTTATGTATCCTCGATAAACACGTTGCTGACGCGTTCACGTTGTTCGATACAGTGGACCACAACCTGGAGCCGGAGCAGTCTGCTCACGTACTCGCAGCCGAGCGGCGGGCCCATCGACTTCGTCGCGCCCGGAACGGCCGCCAACGCGGACATCCAGGTCCAGGACTCGTCCGTCTACCAGACCGTTCAAGGGTTCGGAGCGTCCTTGAGTGCGTCTGGGTCTCGAATCCTTCATCCGCGTAAGAGTCGAATATTGAATGCTTGACTTTGTATCAGCCGACTCTTCCGCACAGCTGCTCAGCAATTTGAAGAGCGCGAACTCGGGCGAGTACTGGCAGCTCTTGGATTACCTGTTCAACGGTCAGATTTCCCCCCGTTGTTAGTCGTCTGAAGGAGGTCGCTTACACGTGGGATATCTGCAGTTACCGACGGTGCAAATGCTGCTGGTCTCTCTTACATTCGCGTGCCTCTTGGCGCGTCGGACTTTTCTGCAAACGGTGAGACCACTTTTGAAACCTGAAACGGGCGATCGACGATCCTGTGGCATTTTATGTCCGGATTTAAGCCCCCGCCGGGGATATCATGTCAAACCAGCTCAACGGGGCAGCGCGCTGATATTTGCTCTTTTTTTCGTGACTCGTGACAGATTACAGCTTTGACGATACGAGTGGAGATACTGGACTCAATGACTTCAACATTAATGCCGCGCCATCGTACCTGTACTCCACGATCCTCGATATTTTGTCGGTTAACAGCGAGCTGAGGGTGCACGTTTTGCCGTGGTCGCCGCCTGGTTGGATGAAGGAAGGCACGATGAACGGCGGGACTTTGAACACCCAGTACGAGAGCACGAGTAAGTGATGGCTGAAATACCGGACCTAAATAGTTGCTGAGCAATGTCTCTAGTGGCAAACTACCTGCTGAAGGCGGTGCAGGGCTTCAAGGCCAAGGGCATCCCCGTCTTCGCCGTGGGCATCCAGAACGAGCCGGAGAACAGCAACCCCACGTACCCGAGCACGAGCATGCCCGTCGCGACCGAGGCCGCGATCGGCGAGGCCCTCCGGACACTGTTGAATAACAACGGGTTATCGAGCGTGAAGCTGATTGGCTTCGAGCACAACTGGAGCGACGCGAGCGCGTACCCTGTCCAGCTGGTATGTCGACTTCGGTTGCCTGGCGCCGGTGGGTGGCTGACGTATGGGGGATTTAGATGCAGCAGGCTGAGAGCTCGTTCGACGGTGTCTCCTTCCACTGCTACGACGGCGCATACACCGACCAGGCTAGCTTCACGTCCCAGTACCCTGACAAAGTGCGTTCCTTTTTCCCAACTTATCGTCCGTGATGAGATATCCTGACCGGACGTCGTCTGGCGCATAGGAGGTCTACTTCACCGAGTGCACGGGCACGCTCGGCTCGGACTGGTGGAGCGACATCAAGTGGTATATGGACAACATCATGATCGGCGCGGTTGAGTACGGCGCGTCGTCCGGCCTCATGTGGAACCTCGCGCTCGACGGGAGCGGCGACCCGATCTTGTCTGGCTCGAACAGCTGCACGGGCGGCTGCCGCGGCGTGGTTACGATCAGCGGGAGCTCGTGGAGCGTGAACCAGGAGTGTGCGTGATCACCATTTATCTCTCTCTCTTCGAGCGGAGGGGGCCAATTGCTGATTGCGTCTTTGATAGTCTACGCATTGGCGCAGGCGTCGAAGGCTATTACTCCCAAGGACCCCAATGGCCCGTGGGGCCAGCGCGTCGGCGTCACCGTCGCTGGAAGCGAGGACTGGGCGCTCCGCGTCGGTGCGTACGTGACCAAACGCACGTCCTCGACCGACTGGTGGCGGTACTCCCTCGTCGTGCTCAACTGGTAAGCTCGTCCCGTATACATATACGTCCACATGCATGCGTCAGGCGGCGATATGTGGCGCGAATCACCTGTGTGATCTGAAGAGGGACGGCGTGTTAACATGTTCCGTGACATATAGGGACGACAGCTCGTCGACGACGTTTAACCCGCAAAGCGTCGACGCGACGATCGAGTTTAGAGGCCAGCAGGTACGCATTCTATTCATGTCTAGCGCGATATGCTGATTATAGCTCTTTGCTACTAGGCCAAGTACACGTTCCCTGTGGGCGTGACCACGCTCTCGTGGTACGCGGCTCCTACGTAGAGCAGGCTCTCTTTGGGTGGTTTTGGGTTTTGATTGGGATCTGGGTTATTTACGGGAAAGGGCTATTTATTGTTATGGGTATTATTGCTATCGAGGGTACGTGGTATTTAAAGCTTATATGGCTCATAGTCGACTGGCCGATTGTGAAGGGCACGAACTAGGAGGGTTTCAGATATACATCTGTCTCTGTCGCTCATTGTTTGTTGGGAAAGCGTGCATTTATTGGATCAAAACATGCCATCTGGATTTGTCTTCAAATCCGATCGAGGTTTGCCTAGTATGAAACTCAGAGTGTGCCCAGTTGAGCATGGGTGCATGAGCGCGTGGGCTTGTCGGCAACTCACTATTTTGGCGAGCGTGTAGGAGACGATGCCGGCGGTAAGGGCTACTATAAACGGTCAAGGCGTAAACACATGAACTTGGTGACGCTGTCAGTGTCAACCTGCGATCACCATGGCGGCCTTAACCTTCTCGCTCGACATTGGCCCCGAACAGCCTCGCGACAGGCGCAACTCCAGGCGACTCCCCGCAATGGAAGCTTTTTTGTTTTGGAAAGCGTGCTGCTTGATTTCTGGATTTCATCAGGGCTCGAGTGCCGATTTCTCACCAAGGACGCGTGGTCACTGGGAGCGGCGCCGTGCACATGACGTGTGTGAGCTGTAATGTCGCCGTGGAGAAAGTTCCAAGGATCTCGGCCAAGGAGCTTGGGAAATATCATGGCCATCTTCTTTTCCTGATTGGCGTGCCCTACATGCTGGCAGCCGCTGCTTGTCTCAGACCGCCCAGTTTTGCGACTTCCGTGTCGAGGTTCCTGCGGTCCCGCGGTCATTGTGTGTTCATGGTGAATGTTTGAAGGCTAAAATTGTCGCGTGGTATTGTATGTTCTGCTGCGGAGCCCCTGCTGTGTGCCTTGGAACAACTCCACGCTGGGCGGGATGCGTATGGCATTCTGAGCCTCTTTGTCAGGCCAAGGCGTCGTTTGTATTCAAGAATGGAGTTGAAGCAAGTGTGCGCGCGTGTCTCATGATGATGCCGGTGTGACACCGAGACTGGGTGCTTCTGTATCAGTCTCTGTCTCTTCGCCTGCCCAAGTCTGGACAGATGGGCTCCATGTCCTCATTGGTCCTGTCCCTAACCCTGGAATCCTCTGTTGATGTCGATTTCTTGAATATAAAGCCCGGACGCACAGTAACCTGGTTCGCTTTTTGAGACCCTACTTTACCACCGCCCCGCATTACCTTGCACCCTCGCAGTAGCCATGATGCGCCTGACGCTCGCGCTCAGCGTCTTCGCTGCGTTGGAACTGGCTGCCTCGCAGCAGATCTATGACATCGTGCGTGGCCCTGTTGCGCGCTATAACCCGCCAGAGATGCTAACAACCAGAACAGTGGCAGACGACATGGGACCGCGACATGCTGTTCACGTACTTCCAGCCCAACCCAGACCCCATCAACTTTGTTACTCCGGGACCAGCAGCGAGCGCAGACATCCAGATCGATGACTCGTCGGTGTACCAGACCGTCTATGGCTTCGGTGCATCCCTCAGTACGTCCTACCGACTTGTTACACCCCAAATCCATCAATCTCACGTTTCCTTCGCGTAGCCGACTCATCTGCATCCTTGTTGAATGGCCTCAAGGTGATTGCACTCCCCCACCAGGGCTAGCGCGAGATCAACGAACTGATGCACCTCTCCCCCACCCCAGAATCAAAACTCGGGAAGCTACTGGCAGCTTTTGGATTACTTGTTCAACAGTGAGTTTCTCCTCGCGTGCACTCCACTCTCCACTCGTGATGGCTGACAAGCGGGGCAATCTGATGCGCGCAGTGACGGACGGAGCTAACGCGGCCGGCCTCTCCTACATCCGGGTTCCCATCGGCGCGTCTGACTTTTCGACCCAGGGTGAGTCTAGATAGGGGCTATTTCTCTCGTGGCGAAGGAGTTAACTTTGTAATTTTAGACTACAGCCTTGATGATTCCAGCGGGGACACTTCTCTAAACGACTTCAATATCAACGACGCTCCCTCTGATGTTTTCTCGGTGCTTTCGGACATTCTCTCTGTTAACGACCGAGTCAATGTTCACATTCTCCCCTGGTCACCGGTATGTCTGCACTCCATGTTGATATTTTGAATGCGTGTACGATAACCCCCTCTAGCCTGGTTGGATGAAGGACGGCGGAACCATGAACGGGGGATCGCTAGAGACTCAGTATGAAGACACCAGTAAGCCTCGTTGCCTTTTGCGGTCCACGGACCACTGCTAACCAGCGGCTGACATGATACTAGTGGCCAACTACCTGCTCAAGTCGCTCCAGGGCTTCAAGAGCAAGGGCATCCCCGTGTACGCGATCAGCATCCAGAACGAGCCCGAGAACAGCAACCCGACGTACCCGACGTGCGATATGCCCGTCGCCACTGAGGCCGCAATCGGCCAGTCGCTGCGCTCGCTCATGAATAGCAACGGGTTCTCGAGCACCAAGATCATTGGGTATGAGCATAACTGGAACGACGCGGGCGGGTACCCTGTTCAGCTTGTGAGTCAGACATTGGTCTGTTGTGATGCATGTGCGCAATGGCTCACTAGAATCGGTTGGTTCGTCTAGATGCAACAAGCTGGGGACTATTTTGCAGGGGTGTCGTTCCACTGCTATGACGGGGATGTTTCGGACCAGGCGTCGTTTACTTCGCAGTATCCTGACAAGGTGGGCACCAAACACTGTATCGCTTCTATGACTAACGCGGCGAGTAGGAAGTGTACTTCACCGAGTGCTCGGGAACTATGGGTTCTGACTGGTGGAGTGACATCAAGTTCTACATGGACGAGATGTACGTCCGGAGCCCCGTTTCCTTCGCTCAAGCATCAGACTGATCTTTCAATGCGCTTTAAGCTTCATCGGATCGCCGAACTACGGTTCTTCCTCTGGCCTCATGTGGAACCTCGCGCTCGACGGTAATGGCGAGCCCTTGTTGCCCGGCACGAACAGCTGCAATGGGGGTAGCTACCCAGGGTGTCGCGGCGTCGTCCAGATCAACAGCGATGGCAGCTGGAGCCTGAACCAGGAATGTGCGTATTTCCTCCCAACATCCTCTCGTCCTCTCATCACTCACGCACGCGACACACACGCAGTCTACTCCATGGCCCAAGCCTCAAAGGCCATCATCCCCAAGGACGCCGGCGGGCCGTTCGGCCAGCGCATCGGCCAGAGCGTGAGCGGCGACCTCGACTGGGCGCTCGTCGTCGGCGCGTACGTGACGACGCGGACGGACTCGTCGCAGTGGAACCGGTACAGCATCGTCGTGCTCAACTGGGACGACAGCGCGAGCACGACGTGGAACCCGGTCCCGGTGAACGCGACGATCGAGTTCCGCGGGATGCAGGCGAGCTACGTGTTCCCCGTTGGTGTTACGACGCTGTGGTGGTACGCGCCCGCGCAGAGCTTCTCGGTCGTGGACACATTCAAGCACGCGCTTAAGTCGGTGTGGTCGGGCAGTCTGTGGGACTTGCCGGTGTATCTGTGGTCTGCTCTTCGTGGATGATCATGAGCGTTTTTCTTGTTCTTGGTTGGATGAGGATAGAAGGACCGTTTTGACGACTTGTTATGATGCGTTGAGGTGATGACACCTACGAGCTCTTGTGACTATTCTTAGTACCGTAATTTGCTCGGGTTTTCCACTTTACATGACACGCAGAGGGCTTTGCGAACGCACGGGCGCAGCGATTACCTCTACATACCTTTTTTTTGTATTATTGCTGACCGTTGAGGCTGTTATACTGTAATGTTTATTATCGCCTTCGGTGGCGTGCAAATTCTTTCGACAGTATCACGAAGCATCTGTTGTAGGCCAGGCAAGAAAGTACACCACAGAAAACAAGGATGGGATCACCCAGGCTTCGTTCATGCGCGCCTTAGTTGATCTTCCTGGCCAGCGCTTCATCTCCCATCCAGACACGCGCCTTGCGCTTGCTCTTGGGCGAGGTCGCCCCAGGCGAGGTCGGTGGGGTGTTGACGACCTTTGAGTTGGACATCGTCTGTGCGTGCCCTGCGAGCGCCGTGCACAGCGCGAGACGGTATCCTGTTCTTTGTATCGTCAAGGCTTATATGTGAGAGAGGGTGGACGTACTCGGGCTGAGTGCGCTTCTGCTCGGAGGTCGCGCGTTCTCCTTGTCGTCGCTCCTGCGCTTGCTCGGCGCGCGTTCCTGGAATGCGTTGGCGGCAGAAGCGCTGGGATAGGCTAGCGAGGTGTCTGGTAAGAAGGCGTGAGCTGTGCTGTCGACGCTGTTGCTGTTGCTATTGCTGTCGCCGTAGTAGGATATGGCCTGCCGGAGCGCCGCGATTTTCGCGTCGAGAGAGGCTTCTTCGGCTGCGAGGTCGTGGTGGTGCTCTAGGAGCGCCGGGATCTCGTCGACGATGGCGGCCATGAGCGGGGCGAGCGGGGCGAGGGAGGGTCCGTCGGTGGGTGTTGGTGTCGGTAGGGGTGTCATTATAAGGAGTGTAGAGTAGAGTAGAGTAGGCTGTGGGGTGGGGTGGGTGGTAGGGAGTGTGGGGTAGGCTGTATGCTGCGTTTTTCAGTGCGCGTGCCTTGGACTTGATGGTGTTGGCTCAGCAGGGACCGGGGCTTTGAACCCGTTCAAAGTCGATAGAGAGCCTGTTGGGGTGAGCCAATCGCCCTGAGAAGACAGAAATACTGCATTGCGGGCAAGACGTTGGTCGTTGGAATACAGATTGGCACGCTCAGGCTGGTGAAGACGTTGGGTCGTTTCAGGCGCTTTGGCTGAACGAGAAATGGGTTGTCAGTGTCATGGTATAGGTGAGAGTTTGAGAAACGTTGGGTGGGACGGGACTGTGGGCGAAGAGGGGCGGAGCTCGCGTTCGTCCTTTGCGGCGACTGCTCTTTGTTCACCACTACATCCTGGATAATGCAAACTACGTTCAAAGTCCTCGTTTTTTTGGCATTGTAAAGTGTTCAGCCATTGTTAAATCCGGTCGACAGGACGCCTGCATATAACCACAGCCAGGAATGACTGACGACTAATATGGGGACGAAGCTTCAAGAACCTTCCATGCCACCCGCGAACATCATGGGAGAAGAATGCAGTTGTAGTATCCGTCGTTTCTTCCTGACAATCTTTACCTCAACCTACGATTACAATGTCGGAGACCAATCCCAGCATCCCTCTACTCCCCGCTCCTGGTCCTGCGTCACTCGATGACCCGAATACCCCGCAGGTGCCGATAAACTCAGCCGAGTCCGTCAAGCTGGATGCGCTCGGGCCCATGGTGGTCAATCCGGATGGGGTATGTGTTGTCTTGCCTCGTACATGCGCGCAGCTTTTTTCATTAATACTATGATACTAGACTCTGTCGAGGATCGCGAACTGGGATAAGATGACTGAGGAGGAACGGGAACGGACACTGCGAGTTGTTACTGCTAGGAATAGGTGCGTGCTCGTGCGATGCTTTTTACCGATACTTTTGACCTCGTGGTTCTGATGGCTAATCAATACTTAGGATACGGATTGCTCAGCAGGCGAAGAAGGAGAGCATGACTTGACTTGCTTCGCGTATGTTTTGACAGTTATGACAATTCGCATGATGCAACGACGTGTCCTTTCATGTTATATGCTTGTTTGTCGTGGTTACGCATGCAATACCATGCATGGCGGTCATTCCTACGAACTATACGTGCATACAATATTACAAAAGAAGGCCGACGTATTTATCGTCGAGTCGAGCAGCAAGCATCGCCCCTACGCTCCGACGTGCTCACCCTCCTGCTTTAATGGCCGAAATGTTATGTCCAAGTCATAAGGCAACGACAATGAAAACGCGAAGAACGAATTCTGGATCTCATCCTCATGTATGGAACCCTTTGGCAGCGTCCACTCGAATTCCCTTAGGAACATTGCCGCGATCGTCCGTATCTCGTACAATGCAAAGTTGCGCGCGGGGCACTTGCGCGGGCCTACTGAGAACGGCATCCAGCGCTCCTTCAGCTTCAAGGCGATTGCTGCGTGTTCCCGCGCCTTGGCGTGGTCCTCCCCGCTCTCAGCGGTGGCGGACGCATGTCCCATGGTCCGGGCATTGAAGTCCTCTGCGCCGCCGTCAGCGGTGAGGAAGCGCTCGGGGCGGAATATCTGTGGTTCATCCCATGTACACGCGCTGTGATGCATCGCGTAGACGTTGCACACCAGCGGCGTGCCTGCGGGGATGAGGTACTTGTCGAGCATGACGTCCACATTTGCCGTGCGCGGCGCGGTTGTCGATGCAGGCGGGTTCATCCGCAGTGTTTCGTGGATGCACGCGTGGAGGTACGGCAGCGAGTCGGATCCCAACGTCGCCTGCGTCGGGTCGGTGGTCGGCCCTAACACGCGGAGGACCTCATCTCGGCAGACCTGCTGGATCTCTGGGTGCTTCGCAAGGAAATAAGTGAAGGAAGCCATGGCGCCTGACGTGGTATCCTGAACATGTAGCCAATGCAGTCAACTGCTTTAGACGGCAACGACTCAAGAGCAGATGGTGAGTACTTACATGCCCTGTTATAAATAACATGACCATGTTATCCCTCAACTCGACTTCCGACAGCTCTCGATTATTCAACAGGAAAGTCATGGCGTCCTCCCCGGGGTTGTCCCTCTTCGCATGCAGCAGGCGCACCAGCGAGCCCACGAATCGGTCCATGCGTGCTCGCACCTCGGGGCGCGGGAGCAGCCGCTCGAGTTGCGGAAATATCACGTACAATGGGCTCGACACCGCTGGCATCAGTTTCTTATAATCCTCTACGAAACTCGAGCGCGTCCGTACAGCGTCGAAGTTGTGCCCGATTAGGCCAATGCCGAGGCCATCAAGCGCGATGCGCTGCGCCAAGTCAGACCATCGCACAACATGAGACGCCATGCCTTGAACTGGAGGAACCGTGGTCGTGCTCTTGACTATGTCGATAGCGCTTTTGGCGAGTGACACGAATGCAGGAATCGGGAGCGGGAGGGAGAATGCCTGCTTCACGATCGGGGCCTGCCGCTTCCAGTCATCGCCTGTCGCGAGGACGACATTGCCAGTGCCGGTGAGCTCCGTGAGCATCGTGTCTTTGCCGGCGGAGTTCTTGGTGAACTTCCCCTGGTTCCTCAGAATGTGATGAAGCATCTGTCGGATGCACGAAAGCTCTGGCGATCAGTTACGTGGTCGCAAACTCAGCTCAGAAGCGTACCTTCGGATCTAGCACCTGCACCATCCACTCTCCCACCACCCAGACAAGCACAATCCCCTCTCCGCGTTCGTCCCTCATCGGAATCAAGAAACGTTGGCATCGATAGCTATCCGGTTTTGCCGTCAGATAGCTCCAAACCCACGGCCACAGCGGGACGGTAGGTAGATGTCTCAGATGTGCAGGGACTGCGAAAATACGGTGGAGCAGCCACAAGAGCAGTGTAAGCGTCGCGGCAAGAGTCTGGACAATCATCGTCAAGTAAGAGTTGCTGGCTTTCGTCCTTCTAGGCCATGTCTCTTTATACGCAAATGTAACGCCACAGCTCGAGCTTTCTCCTGTCCTTCCAAGCCCAAAGCCGATGTCCTAGCCTTCTTTGGGGCGCGATGGTCACCCAGTATGGCCTCTGAAAGTAAGTTCTGTCGCTCTCGCGCCGCTAGACTGCCCGGTCTGGTTCAGCCGTTGCGCATCACGTCTAACTCGGATAAACAGTGGCGTGTAGGCGTAACGAACAAACGGCTAAGAAAGAAAAGGTAGGGGTAACGTCAGTCCAAACGCCTCAAGTCTACATGTCCAAGAAAATAACCAGCGTCCCAGGTTCAAGGACTCAACAAGTTACAAGGAGAACCTGCCCAGGTAGGTGGTATTACCGATCGACAAAGCGCCTTCCTTGGAGACTGCGACAAAAAAGATAGCGAAACACCTAGACGAGGGACCTGCCCACAATAATCCACAATGGATCAAACGTCGACCAGCCCTACGTTCTAGATCTGAATGCTAGGCGCCCCGTGGCGTCATGTGAGTATCTTGACAGTAAGTTTGTAATCCATACCGCTGAACAACGTAATCCATAAGAACACTTACAGGATATGCGCTATGCGTTTTGATGGAGTCCAGCTCCAGAACGTTCATGAAGGTATCAAATGCGCAAGACTACACGCTATACCAAGCCAAGCAAGAGTTTAGACGTACATTTAGAATGGCTCGCTAGTCCATTTCGAGCTGGAGAGACAGTTGAGGAATTGGTGTCCGAGTCTAAGAATGAACGAAGCAAATTAAGCACGAGGACTCGGACAATATTTCTCAGATTTAGTCGCGGTCGCTGGCCATCGTGTTGACGTTAGCGGCATTGCGCTGCCCACGGTGCCACCAGTATGACAGGATCTGATCCTGAGTGGCGTTGGCTGGTGTCTAGAAACAATCTAGAAACATGAGAATATGGACACGAAGAACAGGCGCCAAGTACAATGCCTTTCCATAGATGGACCAGAGAATGGGATTCCAGCGAGTGTAGCCTCTGTGCCGCCATTGGCAGTGGCGTTGACCGGAAGATATCAGGACCCGTTGAAACAAAAAAAAATCAACGATCGGATAATCCTGGAATAAAGCCAGGTCAACCCGCCGCTAGCAGCACGTTCAACCAGGGGTACAGCCTACTCCTAATGCTTAAGACGTAGCAGCTCACTACAGGTGGCTTGGCAGAGCATGAAGGTCAATCATTCGTTAGTCACAGCGCGGATGATAAAGTTCAAATGCGAGCCGAAATACATTGGCGCGCTCTTGGTGGACGGGTTCGGACTGGTTGGAGACATTTGGGCCAACATGCCTTGGCAGAGTATGTAGACAATGTGCCACGCGAACCTGACATTGATTATCCAACCCTGCTAATTATGAGGTACCTCGGCGCCGAGCGTTGAGTGGTATAAAATCCGTCTGCGAACTGGATATTTATAAACGGGAAGCGGGAGAGGGAGGGTTGAGCGCTTGTTTTTGTCAATGGCGACGGCCCTTCCATGGAGCTCTTGAAGAAATGGAGACGCCATAAGAAATGGATAGTACAATTCAGGGCAGATATCACGTTGGACCCCAACCGGGTGAAGAACCGCCATCTTTCGAACGCAACATGGTGATTCGGGCACATGGTCGATCTGTTGCGGGATGCATACCCCGGTGACGCTTTGACGCCCTCTGGAACACATCCTACACGTTCACGCAATGCTCGCTAGATAAACAATAAACGATGTAAGACGCCTCATATGCGAGCTAGATTGCGAGCGGGATAAGCCGTCGTTTCATCCGAGCAACCAACAATGTGATAATATCGCAACGGATCCACGTCCCTAATACGAGCCACACATCTGCGGCACCCTAAGAAAACGTCTCGGTCATCTAGGGCCTGTTTAGCTGCTGTCGTGGCAGAGCGCCCCGGTTCTGTATCGGCGGAGCGGGAAAGCTCTGTGGGTGGGTTTGGGGAGGCATACAGGAGAAGATCATATAGGTTCAGTGGCTAAATGACGATCGAGAGCAGGTTACGATATTAAATAGGGGCAATCCCACCCTTAGCCTGCGGATGGAGGCCGGCCCTAAGTACTAAGTATGCGCGTCTGACTCAATATTGGCGCGTCTTGACACGCGTTGGGCCGCATGACGCGTCCGACATTGTCATCCTCACCTCTGCTTCAACTTGACGTGCGATGCACTACTCCCTGCTAGATTCCAATACTATCATGTCGGAAGATAAGATCTACGACATCGTTCGCCCGAGACGAACTCGGCATAACTTCCTTGAAAGGCCATCTGCTCCAAATCGCTCAGCGAAGGACACCCCTACTACGTTTCCATCCCTGGCGTTGAGGCGGGCATGAGACGTCGATACTACGACGAGACGTGTTTAATTCTACCTTATTGCTACGTTGAAAACAGACGACAGAACTGTATGCCAGCTTTTTCCCGGGTTTCGTTGGCTCGCTTCACTGAACGTTAACAGATTACTTAGCTTGAACATACTTGGGGGATGGGACGACGAAAGATATATGCCAGTAGCCCTTTCCACGTGTTGTTCGGTTTGTGATGCTCCGTTGGTCATGCATGCCCCATTATTGACCTCTCTGAGCTAGTGCCAAAGGAATGGTGCCAGCAATTGATTGACAATCGTTGGCTGTTGATATACGATACCCAAAACGCACCCCTTTCTGTCCATGCTCAAAGCGGTCCAGGAGCGTAACGGTCAAGCTCAACAAAGTGTGCAAATACAAAAGGCTCCTTTTTTGCGTTTTATTCTCACTGTTCCCACAAAGTACTTTCAGAAGCAAGCGACTATCAAATACTATGTTGTTCCTCAGCCCTCTCTTCGGGACGACGTCATCGTCGTAAAGCCGTATCGTGACGGGGTCCGTACCATTCATATACTGCTCTAATAGTTGCCGCTTTTGTGTCGACTTGCTGATTGTATTAACCAAATAGTTGGCCCGTTATCCGTCGTCATTACCCCACCGTTCTTCCTGTTTACAAGAGGTCAACTTCACCGGTTCGCGCAGGAACGATGACTTTTCCTCAGTAGATTGACTGCAAGGTCAGGTTTCTCGCAGGCCTACAGTACTAGCAGGTTTTCCTTTGAAATCTTCCTAGCTACCCCCATGTTGAGTATGCCGCTGGTATTGAGTCACTTATTTGTCAGGCTCTCCCACTCAGCGGACGTCACCGGCCCCGGGCCCCGGCGTCGTCAACTGCCTCGTCAGAGTGGACAATGCCCGCAATGCCACCATAGCAGTACTATAGCACTCTGCCTCACTCTGCAAACACTGCGGTGGCTTTGCTTTTCGGGTGCTTTTGACACTTCGATCTGGTTCTGAGAGTAAGCTTTGTTGACGGCTGCAGCCTGCTGGCAGCTCGCCAATCCTTCGGGTCGGGATAAGTCGGAATTCAAAGCGGGCGAGATTAGGCAGGATCACCTAGTGGCGCGTGAAGTTTTGTCTGACAGCCAAGCTTACCTCGAACACCATTAGGCTCTATCCGCGCCCAGTACTAGTATATGCATACACAAAGAGAGCAAGAGCAAGTAAGATCGGTATGTGGTCAGTCAGAAGCGGTGGAATAATCCTCTACCGGCCATGGGGTTGCCGGTAACGTCACTCGGTGGCTGATTCACATCACGGTGTCCAGGCACAGGCGATCACTGCACTCAAAACACTAATACTCGTTGGTATGTATTCATGATTTAGGCTACTGTACGTTGGCTATGGCTCCCCCACTGCGTCAAACTTAAGCTTTGCTTGCTTTGAGCAGGCGTTGAAAACAATCAAGCTGGCTATCGCTCGGCCACGTCCAAGTACAGTACATGCATATCCATCCAGAACCACCGCCCACGAAAGCATGGTATCGCTCAAGAATAGCACAGGGATCTGTCTCTATTGACATTGTTCTGGCGCCGAACTTCGTCTATCAGCCCGTGGACACCTCTGATTGGACCATGCCACCACCTTACTCGTCGGCGCGCTGGCATAGGTACTGTCATTGCACACTCATCCGCCTTCTGGCATGGTCCCACCAGTGTACCAACCCGTAACGTCGGACGCACAGCAAAGGGACATGCATGGCTGTCTAAGAAGCATAACCTGGTGCCACAGCCGCGGGGTGTTTCCCATGTGCTCGCATGCATCTCGACCTGCAGTTTCGATCGAACAAGATAAGTTTGTGTTCTCGAGTTGACGGTTGTGTAAATGGCATCGCTGGACGACACGCGTTAGGGTATGCCGCGATGCGGCACCAAGGTGCGTGCCTGGTTTCTGCCCGCATTGTAGAATGTGCATGACCATGTTGTTCCCCAGGATACTATCCCATGTACATTGGCTGATGGTGCTCGGGAGCGTTCAGATCCTCTGCGGGACTCGCTGGCAAATTCTCATTAGTCTTTTTGTGCGCGAGACGAAGACGAGGTGATGCTGGCTATCGCGCAACCCTGAGATTTCGTCTGATTGACGAGTTGAGAGAGGAAATCTCTAAAGTATAAATGCTGAGGGAGAGCAGCCGGTTGTATCATCACAAACGCAGTCAACCACCGCTAACATGCGTCGCTCTTTCGTTGTTGCCGCTTTTGCTCTCGTACACGGTGCTGCTGCCCAGCAGATCCAGGACGTCGTACGTGTGCCTTGCTTCTCCAGACGAGTCCCTTGCCCCTGACAGGCACGGATACACACCGTAGTGGCAAACAACCTGGGACAAGGCCTCCTTGCTCGCTTCCACGCCCCCTGCCAGCGCTATCGCGTTCGGTACCCCTGGAACAGCCGCGGCTGCCGACATCCAGATCGACGACACCCAGGTCTACCAGACCATCCAGGGCTTCGGCGCGACACTGAGTACGTCACCGTTCAGTTTACATGCAACGTCGTTACTGAAATGGTCTTCCAGCGGACTCTTCGGCTAAGCTGCTGGACGGCTTGAAGGTATGAAGCTTCATTCAAGTTATCGGGCAACCATCTAACGGCTTATGCAGACTGCCAACTCCGATGAATACTGGAAGCTCATGGACTATATGTTCAACAGTGAGATCAACTTGTGTACTTTTTTTGCTTGAACAGATGTTTATTTGTCACTTCTAACAGTCACCGATGGTGCCAACTCCGCTTCGCTGTCCTACGTCCGAGTTCCTCTCGGTGCTTCGGACTTCTCTACCTCGGGTAAGCTCTCTGTAGTATGTCGGCCGCAAGTCACGCACTGACCACGCCCTCATAGTCTATAGCTTCGACGATACAGCCGGCGACACGGGCTTGACTAGTTTTAACATCGATGCCTCGCCATCTTACCTTTTCTCGACACTCACCGATATTCTGTCGGTAAATAGCGCTGTGAGGTTCCATTTAGTGCCGTGGTCTCCGGTAAGTGAATACAGCGTTTATTGCATTTTTATGCTGAGAATTACCGCGAAATTTAGCCTGCTTGGATGAAAACCCCCGCAAACGCCGATGGTGGTTCCTTGAACGATGCGGATGTCAACTCCTGTGAGTCCTCGTTGTCGCCCCGTTAAATTCAGCGAAGTCGCTGAGTATCCGCTTTGCTGGATAGATGCACAGTACATTGTCGATGCTTTGACGGGATTCCAGGGCAAGAACATCCCTGTCTTTGCTGTCGGCATCCAGAACGAGCCAGAGAACTCAGATACCACGTACCCGAGCACGAGCATGCCTGTCGCCACCGAGGCTGCTGTCGGCGAGGCGCTCAGGCCGCTGATGAACAGTGCAGGATTCACTGATGTGAAGCTCATTGGGTACGAACACAACTGGGACCATGCTAGTGCATACCCTGTTCAGCTTGTGAGTGTATATTTTTAGTTGCAATGAGATCTCAGAACTAACTACGGGTTAACTTTATGTGTAGATGCAAGCTGCGGAGAGCTCGTTCGACGGCGTCTCGTTCCATTGCTACGAAGGCACATATGAGGAGCAGGCCAACTTCACTTCTCAGTATCCCGACAAGGTGCGTTTATTCTAACAACCTTCCCTTAGCACCTGCTCACTGGTTTGACCCACATATAGGAAGTCTACTTCACCGAGTGCACGGGCACGCTCGGCTCGGACTGGTGGACCGACATCAAGTGGAACTTGGATAACATCATGATCGGCGCGATCGAGTACGGCGCCTCGTCCGGCCTCATGTGGAACCTCGCACTCGACGGCAGCGGTCAACCCATCCTCCCCGGCTCCGACAGCTGCACGGGCGGCTGCCGTGGAGTCGTCACGATCAACAGCGACGGAACGTGGTCAGCCAACCAAGAGCGTGAGTCCAGTAGTCGCCTTTCATTAACCTTCCTTCTTACTGACATGGGCGTCGATTGCAGTCTACTCGCTGGGTCAGGCCGCCAAGGCTATCATCCCCAAGGATCCTAACGGCCCTTGGGGCCAGCGTATCGGTGTCACCGTTGCTGGGAGCAACTCCTGGGCGCTCCGTGTCGGTGCCTACAAGACCGGCCGAGCGTCATCATCTGATCCCTCTCGCTGGGCTCTCGTCGTACTGAACTGGTAAGGCATACTAGACTTTTGGTTTTGTTTGAACGCAGGAACTTACGTTCATAAACAGGGACGACAGCTCATCGACCACGTTCAACCCCGTCGCTGTCGATGCTACCATCGAGTTCCAGGGCAAACAGGCGGCATACACCTTCCCTGTTGGCGTCACCACTCTCTGGTGGTTCGCATAAAACGTTCTCTGATACAGAGGAGATCAGAAACTGGGGCGTAGGGCTAGAAGAATTATTTATGGTTTATTATTACTGGGTTGCGGGGAGGCCAGGTGCTTCCGCTTCGGGGGACGTACGCTCATTTTGTTGTGAGCTTATTCGATTGATAGTAGCTATCAAGTACGGCTGTACATCATGATATATTGGGAATCACGGATATTAGTGCACGGGCCCATTTCGAGTTTTGGATTTAAGGTTAGCAGGTGGACGCACCCTATGCCGTAGCTGCTTTGTGTTTTGCCTTGGGGATTGACTCAGGACACGGTATGTATATCTTACACTAGAGATAAGCTATGTTTGGCTTCAACTGAGACGATGCACGTACTGGCGAAACTTTTAATTCCCGGCGGAGCTGCAGGAAGTTGAGGAACCCCCCGGCGATCCAGTGGGCGATCGCGAGCAGGTGTCAAATAGGGGTAATTCCACTCAGGTATCTACGAGGCCGGCCCTAAGCGCGTCTGGCATGACGCATCCAACATTGTCCTCACCGTCTCTCTAACGCTCCTCGTTGAAACACCCGCTACCGCTACATGAACTTGACGCAAAATGCCCTCTTTTCTAGGTCCCAGCTCTATCACGTCGGGAGCCGAGGCTGGCGAGAACTGACTCGTTCAAAGTCGACAGAGAAACTTCTGGTGGGCAGAGCCAAGTGCACTGATAAGGCTAAAGTATTCCATCACAAGCAAGTTTAAAACGTTAATCATTGATGGTTGACACGTTTAGCTTAGTGAAGACGTTGGATGACTTGAAGCACTGGCCGAACGATAGATGGATTTTCAACGAGTCATAGTGAGAGTCCGAACGCGTTGCAATTGTGCGCGATTAGACCCGGCTAACAATAGCGCTCGGGCCCACAGTGGTGAAGTTGGTTGGGGCATGTGTTGCCTTGCCTAGTATATGCGTGGTGTTTTATCCACTTGTACTTTGATTCCTACACTTTGTCCAGGAAGATAAGACGACTTTGGAGGAGCGGGAGCGGAAACTACGAGCTGTGACAGCCAGGAATAGGTGCGTGTTTTATCCGTAAGTACTGTGCCTTTCAGCTCGCGGGTGTTCTGATCGTCAACTGTTACTTAAGAGGACACGACTTGCTCTGCAGGCAAACAAAGAGAGCACACCGTGACTTTGACTCAAGTCCCATATCTTTTGTCAATCCGCGTGATGCAACGGCATGTCCTTTCAAATTCCCTTTGTCGTGGTTACACAAGCACGACCACGGCGGTGAATTCAACGAGCTATACGTACATACAATAATAACAAAGCTTATCCAGACATATCCTCGTTACGCTGTCACCCCATCATCCTCTTGCCTCAACGGCCGGAACGTGATATCCAGATCATGAGGCAAAGATAACGAGAAGGCGAAAAACGAGTTCTGGATTTCATCCTCGTGTATAGACCCCTCCGGCAGCGTCCACTCGAATTCCCTCAGAAACATCGCCGTTACTGTCCGCATCTCGTACAGCGCAAAGTTGCGCGCGGGACACTTGCGCGGACCTACTGAGAACGGCATCCAGCGCTCCTTCAGCTTTAAGACGGTTGCTACGTCTTCCCGCGCCTTGGCGTCGTTCTCTCCAAGTGCAGCCGTGGCGAATGCCTGGCCTTTGGCCTGGGCATTGTGGTCCTCTGCACCGCCATCCGCGGTGAGGAAGCGCTCGGGACGGAATACCTCTGGCTCCTCCCATACCCGCGCGCTGTGTTGCATTGCGTGGATGTTGCTCACCAATGGGGTGCCCGCGGGGATGAGGTACTTGTCGAGCATGACGTCTACCTGTGCCGTTCGCGGGGTGGTTGACGACCCGGGTGGGTTGGTACGCAATGTTTCGTGAATACACGCGTGCAGGTACGGGAGCGAGTCAGGCCCCAATGTCGCCAGTGTCGGGTCCGCGGTTGTGCCGAGCACGCGGAGGACTTCAGCTCGGCAGGTTTGCTGGACCTTTGGGTTTTTCGCGAGGAAATACATGAAGGAAGCCATGGCACCTGACGTGGTATCCTAAACCATATGGCCAACGGTCAGGTTCTTTTTATGTACAAGAAGGCGATGGTTGGTTGATGACTTACGTGCCCCGCTAAAAACAGTGTTGCCATGTTATCCCTAAGCTCGACCTCGGTCAACTCCTGATTGTTCAACAGGAACGTCATGATGTCGTTTCCGGGGTTGTCTCTCTTCGAGTGGAGGAGGTCGACTAGTGAGCCCACGAATCGGTCCAGACGTGCGTGCTCCTCGGGCCGCGGGACTAACCGCTCTAGCTGCGGAAACAGCACGTACGGTGGGCTCGACATCGCCGGTATCAGCTTCTTATAATCCTCCGCGAAGCTTGAGCGTTTCCGCACGGCGTCGAAGTTGTGCCCGTATAGACCAAGGCCTAGGCCATCCAGCGCGATGCGCTGCGCCAGGTCTGACCACCGCACCCTGTGCGTTGCATCTTCGCGGGGAATCGTGTTCGTGTTCTTGACGACGTCGATAGCATTCTTTGCGAGCGCTACAAACGCAGGGATCGGGAGCGGGAGGGAGAATGCCTGCTTTATGACCGGTGCTTGTCTCTTCCAGTCATCGCCCGACGCAAAGATGACGCTGCCCGTACCGATGAGTTCGGTGATCATCGTCTCTTTGCCGGGGGTGATCTTGATGAACTTTCCTTGGTTCATGAGAATGTGATGAAGCATCTGTTATGGGCAGAAAAATTCTAACGATCAGCTACACGTTCGCAAGCTCAGCTCAATGATGCCAGAAGTTTACCTTCGGATCCAGCACCTGCACCATCCATTGACCCACCACCCAGGTGAGCACAAGCCCATCCCCGTACTTGTCCATCATCGGAATCAAGAAACGTTGGCATCGATAAGTGTCCGGCTTCGCCGTTAGGTAGCTCCAGACCCACGGCCACAACGGGACGGTAGGCAGGTGCTTCAGATGTGCAGGGACTGCGAAAATCCGATGCAAGAACCACAAGAGCAGCAGAGAAGTCGCTGCGAGAGCCTGGAGGATCATCGTCGAGTACGAGTTGAGTTTTATCGCTGTTGGCCATGCCCTCTTTATACGAAAACATAACTCCCCAGCTTGAGCTGTTTCGTGTCCGTTCAGGACGCGAATATCTCCTGGTACGACTTCTGAAAATATGTTTTGCCGTTCTCGTGCCTCTACCAGAGTGTCCAAAAGTTTCAGCCACTGTGTAACAGGGCTCACTTGAATCAACAGCAACGTTTAGGCGGAACGAAAGAAAGAAAGCGAGACAGAAGACAGGGTTAGCGTCACCGCAAACGCCTCCATTCTGCGTGTATGTTTGATAACCAGAGACCGGCGAGTATGTTCACAGAGAAGCGCGGCACTAACGGTCCGGAAAACACCTTCCTTGGAAATAGTAATGAAGGAATGTAGCAAGTAGAGACTGTTACGCGGCGGTTGTCCGAATCCAAAGCGCGCGTATCAAGGCAAGAGAAAGAACATGGGTGACAGCTCTGATAGGTGGCCGTTGTCGCTGGCCAACGTGTCAGCGATATCGCGCGTATCCACGGATGCCACCAGTACAGTGAAATCTGATCCTGTGAGTGGAGGTGGCCGGCCTTCAAAAACATGAAGAATGTAGACATGAACGGGCGCTAGTGGCTGTCCACAGGTGGATCAGAGAATGGGATCGGAACTGTGCCGCCACCAGTGTCGGCGCCGTTGACCAGAAGAAAGCAAGACCCGTTATAGGATGATCGCCGGTAGGGCCGTCCTGGAATAAAGCAAAGTCAGACAGCTAGCAGCACGGGACAATGATGCAGCCTACAGAAATGCTTACGACACAACATTTCACTAGATGTCACATGTCAGAGGATGGGGCCAATTACGGCCCAGTAACAGCGTGAATGATAAAGTCGATGCAAGCCGAAACCTGCATGAGGAACATTCTTGTGGTGCGAGAATAGTTCACAGGAGTTGGGAACTCGAAAACTAAAACTCCGATTACTCCGACGCATCTCCGCCAGCCATCGCGGCCTTCAAACATTGCTTTCGTAGGCTCTCATCAACACGAAAGAGACCGTTAGTCTTAGATGAAACTTCTTCGGCTGGGGCCTAACCTGACAGGAAATTAGAGGAAACCATGAAACACGAACGACTGTCAACGGTCTCCAATGTGAAGCATTCCTACGGAGAATCACATCTAGAGGTAGGGCCACAAACGTTTTCACTAAGACTTCTCAAAGGCTCTTGCAGCTTCAGAAGCGTCAGTAGAGTTAGTAGGCGCGGTCATTCTTGGCAGCCAACACGAGTTAGTCGTAGATGCGCTTCAAGTGGCACGGAATCTTGGGTGGCCTTGGCGGGTTGCCCAATTCTCTCGTAAATCGTATGTTTCTCGAAACGGGCGACAAGGTTGAGTATGGGGACTCACTGGCAAGGGTGGAAATAGAGCAACACTTGGAGATCGCTGTATCCTGTCGTTGCTCCTGTGGGCGTCGAACATATCCTTCATATAGGTTTATGGGCGCTTTTCTCCGTAATTATGACGTAACTGAGATAATGGTGTGGTCACTCAGCAGTTTTGGTGTTCTCACCGCAATAACCAAGTCAACATTGGCAGCATCTTGACAGCTTTCTGCTAGCGTTTCCGCCTGTTCTCATGGTGAGTGGGAAACTGTTTTTTCTCGCAGTGTCTTAGCCAAGCTCACTCTCCACATGTTTAACGTCAGCGACCGTCAACTTTGTCGAATGAACAAATTACGTACTCCTTCGCAACGGAAACCATCTTACATCACGTACTCCCGGGTCCGGATCGTATAAACGGGGACTTCCTAATGTTTTAAGGTTCAATAGACGGATCTCCCATAAGTATCAGGCGGCAGCCTGCTCGTCAGCGTCCTACGACAAGCATCGCTCTCTTTTCAGAATCTCGTCCAGGCTAACGTTATGTTAAATCCTACTGCCAAAGACCTGTTTGGACTTCCTCCCAGCGAGACGATGTTCATGGGTATTAAGTAAGTTTCGAGATGCATGCTTTTCTTGAACTGCTCCATTCAATAACCGCGTTATCCTATAGGTGGGGTGCGTCTGGCCACCGCGTTAAATCCAGGAAGAGTTGACTGAAGAGTTCATAGCTTTGATCGGGGGCTTGTTGCCAACCTTCATGTAAGCGAAATATCTCATCATGATCTAGTGAGTCGGCCGAAGACCTTGTGTTCCTCAGAGTCTCCGCAGGTGTCTTCAGCATTGCCTTGATAGCCGAGCCTCAGGGTGTGCGCGTCGGGCTGATGGTGCTAAGCGCATTCTTCTTGGTGATAGGCTTGTGCTACAGTGTACGGATTTACCGCAAGATACAGAGGGACAACATGCCTATCTTCGTCGACCGGATGACACCGGATCTTCAGACCATGATAGCTGTAGGCTGGGTGGACAAACCTGTAGTTGTGGTCGGGAAATATAAGTGGAGCAGGCGTGAGTACGTACAAGTATGAGTTGCGGAAGAAGTGATGGCTGCACGCATGGAAATGGATGCATATTACTCTTGGAACAATTCGCTTTCTTCTTGACGAGCGCGAGACAACCTTTCTGTTCGGGTTGGTTTATGCGCCTTTTGATTTACACCAGCACAGCTGGACTTCATATCGGCTTTCGCGGTGATGATGCCGTTGGAAGTAGAGATGTGAGAACAAGCACTCGGAAACCATCAAGGTAGCGCTGCTTATTGCTCGTTCATGCTATTCGATCTTTTATTTCTCGGATCAGTGAATAACGCTATTGAAAGCTCCTGATAACAGCTGAACATTGTCCCGAAACATGGTTATGGTTTAGCCGCAGCACGTAGGTAATAGTGATATAATAGCTAACAAATCTGGTTGTTCAAATTCAGATTGAAACACATCCTTTCTGTTTTGATAATTACACAGCGACCACTAAAATATTTCTTTACTTTACCACTATCTCTTCCTGAGGCGGCATGGTCGATAGTCTCACAAAACTTGACTTGTGGATGCGTTTTACTGCAAGTTATACCGGGACGTGTACGTGAGCCACTAAACTAATGCTGCCTCTTTCTCCTCCACACTCATATTCTTCTCCGCGTTCATCTCCTTAGCACAATCACAAGACTGGTTCTTCTCACTATCATTAAGACCCTTTTGCGCCTGCTCCGGAGAGTGGGCTCTGTATTCGCCCACCGCGGCCAGTATAAGCACGCCTCCCCAAGCGATATCGAAAATGCCGAACATAACAAGTACTTTGCTCAGGGCACCGGAGTTCTGGTAATTGTCAAGCAGTTGGGTGTAGCCGATGCTTCTCGGCTGTCAATAGGCAGCACCCATATTCGAAACCAGGACGTACTATAAGTAAGATAGTCCAAGGGAGACTATGCAACTGATTCAACACCAGGCCACGATATGCAGCTACAGGAAAAATCATATGTCACTCACTCTTCCTGTGAGATAGGACGGGGCTATGTGAGCACGATATTGGACGCTTGCAAACGTACAAGAAATGCTCACCAGCACAACCTTGGCTTGGTGGAAGCTGGGCCCCACCGTAGGAAGTCACGCACAGGACTACTCATTGCTCTCGGACTTGACGCTATGAAGAGCCATAACTTGGGAGATAGCCATATATATCTCTTTGGGGGCGCACAGCAAATGCAGTAGGATCTGTGTGAAGGTCGAAGGGAGCGGATCAACTAATGCTGTATATATGCATCGTTGCACAGAGAAATCAGCACACCTTTGCATCCTATGCAGCAATCACCGGCGGCTTTGTCAACGCGCACCCATGCAGAGCATCAAACACACTGCCCGTATCTTGATTTTGGCGCGATAGATGACGGAAGATTGGGAGGAAATAGTGAGTAAAGACTCAAGTCGCCGAGTTTCAAGTTGGCGACGACACTCATGGATAGGCAAACGAGACTGTGACAGAGTTAACCGAACTTACCCATGTCTTCAAGTAGTCTGATAACAAATTTGACTCCTATCACTAGCATTTGTAGGTGCGACTGATTTTGCGATAAAGATGGTGAATCAGGACGTTCAAAGATACGGAGCAACATTGTGATGGGCATGTGTACAGTCAGAACACCAAACCGGGCTTCTACGCCACAACCGAGCTGGTGACGCACATGCTCGATTTCCCAAAGCGCCAATGAACATTCCCGTCAAACACAGACTTGTACCTGGAGCCACCCGGCGAGTGCGGGATAAGCTGTATGTTCGTGGTGTTTATCTAGCTAGGACAGGGGCACTCTTTTGTCCTAGTACAATATCAGTGATGGGAGGTAAACATGACATATGAGGACATGTTTGACAACCTGCTACTGCTACTCTTTGTTATAAAGCGTCCATATCTTTTACCCGAGACAAGTACTCGAGTGTACCCGCAACGACATGTTTTGCTGGGGACTTCTCCTCTCCTCTGGCCGTTTCTTCGTATCGACGTTGATCAAAGCCTCAGTGTTTTAGTCCCATTAATTCTTGTTCCTGCTCCCTGAAACTCCAAGCAACTACCACCCTACTTATCACAATGCAGCTACTGTGGGGTCGTCGGCTTCAACATATCATTAGCGACTAGTAGCTCAATTTGACGCGGGTTTTCTATGTATCGTTGACGAGCATTCATGTACGGCACTCTTGATTTCGTGTATGGCCAGCGTTCACTCTGTGGGTAACAGCAACGTAATATCTCGATGGACAGCTATATCACTTTCACTTGTGGGGCATCTCGTCGCAGACCTGGCCCTTTTCACTCACGTCACTAGGCCTTGGTGTCTGTCCGCTACCATGGGTCCGATACTCGCGCACAACGTATGTCATGAACATAAATCCCCACAAAAGAGGTCCCCGCATAAGGATTACATTGCGCATGTGCTTGTGATCCTGAAGTTGAACATGCATTAGGTATCCTGCATTAGAAGAGAACCAAAGAGTGACTGTCAGCCTGAAAACTTCAAACTACCAAGCTGAGTGATGGGTCACGTCTTACGATATAAAATATAATCCGCCAGAGACTGCATTGAAGATTGAGGAACAGGCAATAGATAAATCTGCCCAGCCCAGAGCCAATGCACGTGCGACTTACCTTGACTCTGAGATGAGGTTGATTGTATAAACAACGCGCAACATATCTCAATTTGCAAGATAACTTACACAAAAAATCCTAGCTTTGGAACAATATGGCGCCAGAACGACTTTTGCGTATGCTCGGGCTTGGCCATCGTTTGCGGGGATGGTTGCTTTAAGGGTGTAGGGTTCATTTCGTCGTAGCAATTATTCATCTGCGTGTACAGGAAGACTGGCAAGACTGGGAGTCTATGCGAACTTTCCAAAGGGGAGCTCATGTGATGCTGAAGGGGCACAACATTCTACCTGTGAACCGATAAACCTGTGCCTTTACGGTAGCATACCCGGCTAACCGTTCAACCGCTCAGGCACTCGGATGCGCTAATTTGGGGCGTATGTTTTAGGTGCACATGTACCCAAGCGGTACAGCCATCAACGAAGTGCACCACTTGTGGGTTACCTGTGATTGAAGGATGCAGAATCCCAGGTACAACGTTGTCGCTTCTCATTTCTCATACAGAAGTTACCAGGTATCCAGGACTCGGAGACTGTGTGTAAGTTGAAATCTTCGACTCGCAGCACTCTGGCACTGGGCTTTTCACGCCACAACTCCATGTAGCAATTCCTAGAGAAGGTAGAGATAATGTCGTGCGTTCAGGACTACGCGATGCTGCGTCAATTCGGTCGACTAAGGTGTAATGGGCGTATACACACGCAGACCATTAATGGCGCTACTTTGCAAGTTAGGAAACTACGCGCTCAATACGGCTGATTCCTCGACATAGTTGGTCTTGAATACGCACCATGCGTTAGAGAGGACGTTTCGTTGTGTTCAACAGCTTGTCGATGTTCGAGCATTGCTATGGCTCTCAGACATATGGTTTCTACGCCACAAATCGAGTCGATGATGAATTTGAATTATCGGCTCTCTGATAAATTCCCCCTCAAGCCTGAGACTACTAACTTCTCGTTCGGTCCGTGACTTCTGCAGTTGCAGTTGATACTGAGACCCTGAATTCTAGGATTCACTCACGCTCAAGCTCACCTTGATGAGCTCTTGCTCCTTAGTGCAAGATCTGCGGTGCCTCAGGAAAGCCTCGGCGGATACGAGCGCCTTGAGCATGAGCGTCGAAGGGACATAGGATACACGCGGAAGTCGAAGGTGGTAAGCAAGGGCGAATTGGAAAGGCAACACCGCGTCGTTGTGAGCATTGGGTGTGGCGCATAGACTACGCCAACCATTTTACAGCACTGTATCAGGCGTGGGTGTGTACCCAGGAAGTAATGAGTGGTACTTGAACTGGGAATCGACTATGAGGGTAGCGAAACCCCGAGTTAGTAAAGGATGGGTGTAGTGTACAGGACTCTGCACTGGCATATGTTGCAAACAGTCTTAAGCTTAAGCTTCAAAGCGTGACAAGTGCATGGCACGATTTAGGTGCCGTGGTATTAACAATTGCGCTTCCAGATTTTGGTAAGAAAAGAAAGGGAATGCAGCCCTCATTATGGCGATTTGGTTACCGTCCGGTGTGCAGTAAGACTGCTGCCTCGAAGATGTCCTGGCGAATAAAGCAGGGCTTTCCCGGGCACGTCGCGGGGCTCGAAATCAAAGCAACCTAAGAACCGAACAAAGGGCGCCTGTATCAGGGACCACTTGACACGACCCCGACGGATCACTGAGTGAGGTCGTCGTGTACGCTCGCCTGGCTCGGGCCTTCAGAACATCCGATTCATGTGCGCGCTTGGCTAGCATGGGCGCCTCGCCCAGCGCTCATATACTTGACGACAGGCCGCGCGAGGTGATTGAGGGCTATTAGAACCACGAGCGCTGCGGCAAAAGGGGACATGGTCCGAAGTGAATCTTCTGCATATCCAGGACCTCTCCTTGCGAGATACTTAATCATTCCGTGTGCACCGGAAGGGAAACGTCATCGAGTCCACTCAGCGAAGAAGCTGAATACAATTGTCTAGGATGGAGGAACATAACATACATGAGAGCTAAATGTCAGATGTGGACAGACCTCGAGCTTCACAAAAGATTCATCGGCAGTGCTTACTTATGGCCACTGCTTACTCAGGCCGCTGCAGCGCACCAACGAGCCAGTCCACGATCGCGTTCAGGAGCTTCGTCGGCGGCCGGCCCGCCTCGAAATCGACGACCGGTGAATCGTGCACGCCGCGCTCCTCGACGAAGCACGTCAGGTCGAGGCCCTGGATGCCCTTCCACGACTCAGCAAACGTGAGGATATCATCTCGGAAACACTCGTGCTCGCCCGCGGAGATGAACACCTTCTTGACGACGTCGGGGCACAGACCGTTCCACCACTCCTTGGGAGCCTTCACGGGCTCGGTGTAGAACCCGTCCTTGCGCACACCCTCCGCGTCTGCGATGGCGCTGCCGACGCGGAAAGTGCCCATCCACCGCTTCAACGTATCGCGAGAAAGCATGTCGCGGTTGGAGTTCTCGGAGAAGGAGCGGGATGAGGTCTCATTGGAGGTGCGTGGGGAGATGAGCAGGAGGCCGCCGAGCTCGTCCGCGAGCGAGGGGGGCTCCGTGAGCTCCGGGTGCGGGTGCAGGAAGTGCGAGATGACGGAGAGGATGATGTGCGTGCCGGCAGAGTCGCCCGAGACGATGAGGTTCGAGGGCATGATTCCGTCGTTGAGGAGGTGGTGCATTGCTGCGCCGAACTGCTGCATTTGGAGGGGGTAAATGCCCTGCGGAGCGCGTGCTACGGGAAGGGATAGGTTAGGGGCTGTGAAATTCAGACAGGCGGGCAGCATGGTACGTACTGTACTCGAATACGGCGACGGCCATGTCGATGTCGGTTCGTTTCTTGACCTGGTTGCGCAAGTAGTTCAGTAGGTCGAGGTGTCCCGCACCCAGGGGCAGCACGTATCCTCCACCTATAACACATTTTCAGAAGGCTGCGTCGATAATAGGTGACGCACCGCAGCTTACCGTGAACATGGACAAGAATCTTTGTCGCAGGAATCGGGTCCCCAATCCAGTGCAGCTTGGCGTCGTAGTCGATGTCCTCCGTTGACGTCTCCAACTCAGGGTGCGCAGCGGCCCATTTCGTCCATGCCTCCTCGGAAGTGCCGCGTATGACCTGCAGCTGGCGCACGCTGAGCCAGTTGGTGAGCGTGCGCGTGACGGAGTAGGAGACCTCGCGACCGTAGGTGGACGCGCCGCCGCGTCCGCGTAAGCCCGCGAAGAGCAGTTTCCATACGAGCGTGGACACTAGGGAACGAACACAAACGCGGGCTGAAGTTAGTGCTTCAGCACGACGTGAGTTTTAAGGAGACTGACAGACTGCGACAGCTGTTGGGAAAAGCTTGAGCTTGTCGCCGAGGCTGAGGACCGGTCTTTCTGACATGGTTGAAGGAGGAGGTGAACGTTACGTTCTTACCCTATACTTGTCAGCTCCATGAAGTAAGAACATGTAAGCCGTCGGACTCAGATTTGCATCGGAGGTTATAAAGCTTAAAGAATGATGATATCATTTTGAAATATGGTGCTTGGGTGCTTGCTGCCTCGTGTTTCAGCTTGCGCAGCTGGTCTGGTCAAGCCAGTGGATGAGCATTTGCTAGTGCGTGAATCAGATGTTTCGTCGTCCAGTTTTCTAGGTTTGTTATCAATTTCTAGGTTAATTGACACCTAAGGCGCATGACAAACTAGTTTTACAGAGGTGCATGATCCCGGCGCCAATACAAAATCCGGCCATAGTACTGTCGTATTCCCTTGGCACTGACGCATTTAAGAGCGGCAGTGTCCTCGAGAACAATTCAAACTTCAACAGTGTCTGAACATTGAATTCTTATTCTCATTCCGAGTCGATGTCTGGAGAGAAATGTGGTAGTCCTAGTCCCATTTTGTCTCATACGCAGGAGGTCATCATCATTTGATTGCCTCCAAACGTTATCACGCACAAAGATAAACGCCACGTGTCGATCTGCGTTCCGGACCGGTTGCCGTTGCCGACCTCCGCACAGTTACGTTGGCAGAGCCCATGGACCTGGAAAACAGTGATCAGCAAAAGTCTCATCAGGATGCTTGATCAGACGCGCGATGGCCGGGGCGAATGGCAGTGGGCACAAGCATGCGTGCACACCTGCTGCTGCACGTCGAGCGAAAGAGGGCGGGCCCTTCGTTCGATTGTACTTCACCGGATGGATGAAGCTTGACCACACATCTTGCACGTCGATGCCATCTACCATTCATCAACCCTAATTCCTTTGGATTTGCCTGCTTGCTTCCCCTACTCATCATACTCCAATGATGTGGCCGCTTTTCGTCGGAGGAACTGCAGAGAGACGTACAGCGACAATTGATGGTTGAAATGTCAGGCCAGTGCGTTGAACACTTGTATCCGACTTGCAAAGAGGGTCACCCGAGTCCGAGTCGGAAAAGTTCTCGGAGGAACATGCCTAGGCCTCGACATGTACGTACAATATGTATATGCCCGACAGGAGCGGAATGAATGGGCGCGATTTATAGAACCTCGATCGGCCTTGAGGCTTCGAAAACTAGGAGGCGCAAAGGAAGAGGACGCACTAAACACAAAGCCGAACGCAGGCTAAACCACTTTTTGACAACAGAAACATGTAAGCACCGAAACCGGTAGTCGCCCATGGGGTTTTTTTCTCCCAAACGCGGATATCTGATTACACCGCCGGGTGCCCTGGCGATCACTTCAATATACAGTGGAGAGCGTGCGCGTGCCGAACTGCCTGCCGCTCAGTAGCGCTCGTCCATCAATTTCGCTTCGTCATTCTACGATCGAGCGGTGACAAGTCTGCCCATTGCCCATTTCCAGGGACACTATGCTATAAGTACCTTCGGGCCATGTTAGCTGGTGCCCGTTCTCCCCCAGCACATCCATCATGGCCACCCTAGCAGCAGCCATCCCCCATGTCGATCTCAATCCCTCCATGGGCGCCACCTTCGTCGGCCTCATAGTCGCCACGACGTACGTCTCCTTGGCTCCGCTTGGTCCTCGTCCCCCCGCTCACCGAAACTTGGACTTGTAGGCTGTATGGGATTACCCTGGTCCAGACTGGATACTACTTTGTCACCTTCCGGAAAGATGACGCCGTCCTCAAGTGGACGGTTGGAGTATTAACGTATGTTCCACCTCCCTAGTGAAAGGACGAATTGCCAGCTCATGGACCCACCTTCATCGCAGCCTTCTCGATACAGTCGCTTTAATAATCAATTGTCACGGCTTTTACTGGTACACGATCTCTAACTGGGGGAATCCCTTGGTCCTCAACATTGTCATCTGGAGTTTTACGGTGCGTATCGATGTGTTCGACTGCGGATGTATCAAACTGAATGAGATGTCTCCTAGGCCAATGTCTTCTTTACGGTTTGTACCTGTTTCATTCTTTTTTGCTCTGATGCTGAAACGAGACACAGAATACGATTGCCATCATCGTACAACTGTATGTTCACACTTCCATCTTTATCCCACCCGCACTCATTCCGTCGACAGATACCTCATTCGTCGCGTGTACATTCTAAGTCAAAAGAACTGGTGGATATGCGCGTTCTTGGTGCGTCAGGATTGCTATATTCATACGCTCTATCCTGACTAGGCCTGACTTGTGACAGGTCGTCCTCGCTCTTCTTGCTTTCTGTAAGATTCTGCACTTCTTACGAGACGCCGTGTAGCTCATAATTCCTGCGCGTCTCACAGCAACTGGTTTCGGTATGCTTTCTCACTCGCCGGATGCCCCCCAGAAAGCTCACCTTGTCCTTTAGCCTACGGGATTCGCCTCGCCCAGCTTGGCCTCAACTCCCTGATACCCAAAATCCTCGTGCGTCACCTGCTCCACCCAATGTTCCTGACTCTTACGCTTCACGCATATGGCAACAGTTCCTCATTCGCACGTCCCTTGCGTCCACGCTCGTCGTCGACGTCCTGATCACGATCGCGTTGTGCTTCTACCTCCACCGCAGTCGGACCGGCATGTCTAGGTACGTTCCAGACCAGGATCGCGTATGTAACGCGCCCAGCGCTAAGTTTTTTGTTCCTGCAGCACGGACACACTGATCAACACGCTGATCGTGTACACTGTCAACACCGGTCTCCTTACAACGTGCGTTGCATATTATTTTTCGTGTTTCTACGCGTGTCATGTGGTGGTTTGCCAGAGTGCTAATCTTAGGTTTTGATAGGCTCGTCGCCTTCTTTGATGTCGTCCTGGTGCGTGATCTTCGCACGATGTTGCGGACAGGGGCTAATTGGTTTTCCCCCCATTTCCCACATGCGCTCATTCTCATTTCCACAATCAACGCCACATTCGACTCCACGTCTGGCTATGATTGACTCATGGAAAAAACGGTTCATGGGATGGCGTGGATGATCAGCACACCGCGCTGGACGGCACGCTCGCGTACTACTGCTTCTACGTGATGCTTACCAAGTTGTACACGAACTCGTTCCTCGGCACGCTCAACGCACGGCGCGTGCTCCGCGGCAAGGCGGGCGATGTCGTCACCACCGGCCCCTCGAGCGGCCCCTCGAGCATGGGTGGGACGACGGCGCGGCATACACACGAGTCGATGGAGATTTCGACGTTGCCGCCTATGGAGGTGCGTTTATGTTCTTTTGGCTTGCCTGTTCTCCGTCGGGAGTAGAGATGTGGATGGCTGATCTTGGTTTTTGATGTAGTTCCATAAGGGTAAAATGTCCACGAGGGGCGGCGATGACGATGACGAGTACTATGTCTAAGGTCTCCTTGTTCTCCTTTCGATTTTCGAGCTCTCACCTCGCACAAACACCCTACGCGTCAACACCCCAGGATCATCAATTTTCATTACCAGAATAATCCTTGCCATGTATTATACGACACGGAAAACAGTCTAATGACCCCTCTCTCCCTCCCTCCCTCCTCCTTCACGCCCACACCTACTCCTCTTTGGCTTACCCACGAGGCCACTTGCTTCGACCGATCTCTCACGGACTTTACCAGTTACCTGACTGCCTGACTCGAATGATGACCTGTTTCGTATACCTTCGCTTGCGTGTGTCTGAGTACACCTGTCTGTTTTTTCCCGAGTGTAGCTTATTGTCTTCACTCTCTGTGCTGCGTATGCATATACCAAATAATGCATTTCAATTCCCGTTTCTGAACGTCGATTTGCGGTGTGCGAATCTCGATCGATGCTGAAGATATGTAAAACTGACGACAGGATGGGTCTTTCAATGGTTGGATGTTGGGGATCCTACGAAACGAGAAATGATACAGCGTAAAGGGTTCAGTGGCCTGGTGGCGGGTAACTTAAGATGACCCAAGTCGGGGAAACACATAGTAGTACTAGTCAGTAGCGATTGGCAGAAGCGACCACAACAAGTATATGGCCCGCAGCAGAATAAGGTGTTGCAGCTGTAATTAGGCGCTTGCGGAGGGCATGTGCGTCTTTGAGCTCATGACAAGAGTCAGATAAGTTTGCGTCTAAGCCTCCGATGTCCTACCTCAGGCTGGCCCTGTCGCTTCCATATCGCGGTACTGCCAGGATGGTCATTTCTGATCTTACCGTGCAGTGATGTCATTGAACGTAAATCAGCTTCGTCGGGTAATTTCCTCGGACCACTGGGACATCACGGAAGTGCGGGTTCGGGTTCGAAGGGGATACGAGCTGGGATACGTAGACATTCTGTCATTGGCACTTGTGGGAATTCAACTTGCTATGCGGTGCTTTCCTGTGTTTCACACTCCACACACTTAAGTGTGCTCTGCCCGCGTGCCTCTGCAACGCGACTTCACCGTCGTTCTCGCCATGTCAAATCCAAACGTCAACCCTTGGTGGTATGTTCTGTGAGTCTGAACCGATTACAAACGCTGCTGTTTTAGCTGTTTCACTTAACAGCCGTCCCCATTCCTCAGAGAAGGTCTGTTCTAACAGCTACATCATGATGGATTAGTCACTTAATGCTCAGCGATGTTATCTACAGTCGCTGTAGGGGCATACAACATACTGTAAGTCTTCCGAGTTCGAAGAATATCCCTTTAACACAAACACCCACCTATCTTGCTGTAGATCAAGCTACAACTCCGTCAGTTCGCTGTGGAAGAATGTTGATAACGCCGGAAAGTTCTCTGTGATCTTTGGGCACTTCCAGTTCGCACTTGGCGTCGTGCTCATTGTCGAGGGAGTGTGGAAGTATCGCAAAAATCGCCGCATCGCGCACGAAGCGGTTGAAGAAAGCGTTGAAGCCGCTCCGACGCAGACGGATGAAGCCGCAAATCTCATCGTGCTCGATGATGAGAAACAGATTGTAAGCGCGGAAACGAATGCGGAGAAGGTGGAGGAGCTGGTGTGATTGTGGACATTCTAATGCCAAGCATCCCCGTGCACTTGTGCTCATCTTCGTACGTCTAAGTACAATATTTAGCTCAGTACCCGTCACGGTGTCGAACTTCGCTCGACTTCCCACCAGTCTGATGGTGCGGGTCGCGCCTGTCTAACTGTCTAACCGCACGCGATTACGTAGATTGTAAAACCTCGATAGTACTTGTATAATGTGAGTTAAATCACAATGCAACACTGGTTGAATTGTGGGAGTTTTTGGTCTCTTACGATGCAGCATCACATGAGCCGTTTCTGTCGGCATATTTAGACCGTTTCCTGATCTCGCCGCTCTTCCTGTGCACTTCCGGCGGTGATATATACACAGCGGACTGAGTCTGAAGCCAACCTCATCCGCAAACAATGAGCAGTCCTACGCATAAGAAGATCTGGGGTCTCACCCCTCCTACGCCAAGATCATTGTGCTTGTGAGTCTCATCTTCACCTCTGACATACTATATTTTACGCTCATACGCCTCTACGCCATCTCACAGTCAAAGTAAGTCGCATACGCATTTGCTTTGATTGTATTGTTGATGGCTTTTCTTGACGCTAAACGCAGTCTCTATTGGTCTAACTTTACTATTGTATGACCCTCCGATACATGAATGCGGTTGATGCCAGCTGACAGCTGCTCCTTATTAGCGGGGGCTATGTATGGATGCACGATTCCCACAGCAGCTCCGACGGCCTGAGCAAGGCGGTCTTCATCCTTGGAATTATGCAAGCAGTTCGGGGACTCTTGTTCATACCACTTATGCTGTGGGAGTCCCGAACCCGTATCTGGGAGAAGGCGGGAAACGGTGACAGCGCTACTAGAGAGGAGAGTCAGACCGATAATACCACTTCAAACATGAACGAGAAAAAGAACAAGAGTGTGGAAAGGAAAGAGGCAGAATTGGTTTAGTCGCCCGTCGAGGTATTTGTCTTGCTGAACTTGTCATACAAGTGTTTTTACCGTTAAATTGTGAAGTCGAGACTTCAGATCTCACGGATGAACATGAAATGTTAGTATCAGAGTGGAGATGAGTCCACCGCAAACATAATTGTTCGTGAAACAAAGATAGTAAGTCAACTGGTCCGAATGAGCTGACTTGACGAGCTGCAGACGGAGATTCGTTCCGACAACTTAGAGAGCTGGATTTGATAGTTTTCCTTGTCCTGCAGGAGTTTTTGAGTCAGTCATCAGAAAGTCATCAACTCAGTAAGTCTGGGATTTGCTGGTCTGATCTTGACTCTCTTCAGGCATCGATATATCTACCAAACTACTAAGTACGTCAAGGACCTGCAGTCCAAATGATAATATCGATAAATTTCGATCAGAAACTTGCCAACCATCCGATGCTACGGGCCGAACTTTGTCAGACCATACGCGATTATGTACTATGTATATAGTAAGACCTCGGTGGTAGTTCCGAATCACAACATACAACGTGGGGCTTGCTAACTTCTTACGTACAATAATGTTCTTAAGGAGCCAAATGGGCAGCATCACATGAACCGCTTCTGCCGACATTCACACCGTTCCCTAATCTTGCTGTGCATTCCAGCCAGGATACATATACAGCAATGGGCTGAGCCAATCTCATCCACAAACTATGAGCAGTCCTACGCATAGAAGGATCTGGGGCTATACTCCTCCCCAGCCGAGATTGATCTTGTGAGCCTTTCCTTCACCTGCGATATATTGTACCTTACGCTCACACACCTCTACATCTCACAGCCAAAGTAAGTTGCATATGCATTTACTTTGAGCGCATTGCTGATGGCCTTTCTTGACGCTTACCGGTGACTAGTCTCTCTTGGATTAACTTTCTTATTGTGAGATTAGAGTCCAACTCGGGGACGTCGTTGGTGCCAGCTGACACTTGCACCTTATTAGCGGGGGCTATGTATGGTTGCATGACTCCCACAGCAACGAGTCCGATGGCATGAGCAAAGCGGTCTTGTTCTTCGGAATTGTCCAAGCTGTTTGGGGACTCTTAATCATACCACTGGCGATATGGGAGTCACGAACCCGTGCCCGAGAGCAGGCGGAAAGCAGTGATAGCGCTAGTGTCAGTGGGGAGAGGCAGACCGGCGATAGCGCTTCAAACATTATCGAGGAAAGGAACAAGAGCGTGGAGAGGAAAGAAGCAGCACTGGTTTAGTTGTCCATTAACTTAGGTATTTGTCTTGTTGGAACTTGCGACACAAATGTTTTACCATTCAATCGTGAAGTTGAGGCTTTGGGGAGACGCTTTCACACCACACTATATTGTGGAGTAGCTGTCTACAACACGCACACGTTGGGTCACAGATTACCCAGTGGAAGACAGCCAGATAGATCGATCACAAAAGTGAGCTACAACAGAAGAAAATTACAGTATAGCCCATAGTCCAATTTAACGCGAGTTTTAAGTAACACGACAGCAAAAGCGAAGGTGTTTCACGAGCGAGTGTAAAGTGTCAATATCAGAGTGGAGGAGAGTCCATCGTAAACATAAGTGTCCGTGAAATAAGGATAGTAACCCAACAGGTCCGTTTGATGCTTAGCGGGCGGCCTAGCAAGTGGGGTGGTAGCCACTGGAGGCGGCGTAGGAGAGGTAATCGGCGAGGTTGTCGTACGGGATCTCCTGCGTGTCGCAGAGGCCAGTCCAGGCGGAGATGATGCTCCAGAAGTTGGAGACATAGTCAGTTGAGGTCGGGTACGGGCCGTTGTTGCCTGAGCGCTGGGGATCCTGAGCGCCCCAGGGGCCACCCAAGCTATCGTAGGTGTTGGTCTAAGGCATGGGTTAGCACTGGTCTGCTAGCGTACACGTGGGACTAGACACTTACGAGGGCACCGTAGTATGCGTCAATAGCGTTCTGGAGGGTCATGACGTTGTTGCCGCCGGTCACGTTGTGGAACAGGTCGAGCGAGAGACGAGTCTGGTCTGCGGTGGTGGGGATGTTCGAGACGTAGGACGGGAACATTTTGTTGATGAGGACGTCCGTCGTCGACTCGGCGTAGCACATGCTCGCCATCAAGCACAAGCTGTTCTGGAAGAGCCCATCGACGTCTTGCTGGATGAAAAGTGCGCACTGGCCGGCGACCCCGTTGCACGAGCCATTGTCGGTGATCGGCTGCGGCACGCAAGGGTCGGCGCTCGCGGCGAGGGTGGCGTTGCACGACTGCACGGCGGGGCAAACGCCGGCCGTGCCCGAGTAGTCGAACCAGTCAGCGAAGTTGGAGTAGGGAATGCCGCTGTCGTCACAGTCACCAGTCCAGGCGGCGATGGTCTCGTATTGGCCCTGGAGAACGTAGGTCCTGATAAATGCTGTGAGTACACCATGATGATTTCAGTATAAATGAATAAGCTTACTAGTTCGTGGGCTTAGCACCAGGGGTGCTGGCGATCGCAGCGTTGTACGCGTCGACGTAGTTCTGCTGCGTGAGCCTGTCCGCGCCGCCGGTCATCTGGTTGAAGACATCCTCCGTTAGGCGAGGCTGGGTCGTGGGCAGGTTGACCGAATTGAGGGTCTGCTGGGGAGTCGAGACACCTTCGGAGCAGATGGCGAGGAGCGCGCAATCGGTGTAGTTCCACGCATTGTTGGGGTCGATCACGGTTGCGTTGCATCCGTTGCGGAGAGACAGGCAGCTGACAGAGCTGTTCGCCGTAATGGGTGCGGGGAGCTGGCGGACGTCGAGCGCCGGAAAAGCGGTTGCGAGAGTCACAGCTGAGGCAACAGCACCGAGGATGGGTAACATTGTAGGGAAAGGGGGCGGTAGATTGGGCAAGGGTGGAAGGAGGGTATTGGTCCGAGAGGACTAAGTGCGAGATTCGACGAGAATGAGGAAGAGGGGGTGGAGGTTGCCATGATCTTCATGGACTCGTTCTTATGCGAGTCTGCGTTACGGGCATGATGCCCGTGGTCACGAATCCCCATGAACCCTGAAGCCCGTAGATGGCAAGCCGCCGCGGCTTCTGAGCCAGCTGAGTGTGGGCACCTCATGCAACGCATGGTGAGGTAACATCTGGTAGCATAGGAAAAAAAACAGGAAATGCAGGGTGCATTTTCCCAGCATCATACAGACAAGTCAACATGATGGTATTCAACTCGCGATATAGGGCGGCGATGGCTGTGCCCATGAGGAACATGGAAGTGATGGCGGTGCTTGTGCATCGGAACCGCCGTCAGGTCCGATACAACTCGGCGAGTTTCGGTAGTAGCAAGCAACGCTTCTAGCCTCCGCACAAGGACGATCGGCTTACGATTGAAAGGAGCTCCAACAGCGCAAGAAAAGGATTGAGTAAGTGAACGATGCCCGTGATAAGTCGCCTTACACCTGAGCTCCCTTTGACATTGGCAATTGCTTGGCTGGTCATAATAAACTTCTCGGCTTCTTCATGACGGAAAAACGGCACGTCGACTTCCGGGTAGGTCATGTCGATCTGCGCGGTATGTGGGAGGTGGTGGGCACTTCACTATCAGAAGGAAGAGAGGAAGTAGCTGTGCCCCTCGGACCAGCGTGCTTGGCTGTGCTTCAAGTTCAAGAAGGTGGCTCGGGAGTCGAGGCTTTGCCCAAGAACGGCCGTCAGAAGCATATAAATCTGTGGTTTAGCCCCTAGCCCTTGCGAGGGAACGGTTTGGAGACGTGGAGAGTCAGTGGGGAACAGGGAGCTCTTCAGGAAAAGGTCACGACGCCAGAGGGTACACACAGTACGCACTTCCACGAATCTTGGCGACGCCTCCCTTACGTGTTCCCTTGAATCACGCTAGGCTTGTAGGAGCACCTGGAGAATATGTCGCGAAAGAACATTACAAGGTATCTTCGAAAACTGGTACAATGAACATGGTGGTACATGTCAAATGGCAGCCAGGCATCACGCCAACATCTGCGCTGAATAGTAGGACTGGCAGGAGGGAACCAAAATTGAAGTTTAAGGAACCAGACCAAAGCTTTGCAGATACGACTCGGATGGCCTCGACAAGAAAGAGGAGGAAGTTTACAGCTAAGAAGTGAGGATGCGTTCGAAAGGCCAAAAAGGGTCTTCAAGGGCTGTAGATAGTGATCAACGAGGCCTTCGTAAGCGTGAACGCATCATGAGTCGCCATAAGCAAGCAAAAACGTGAGGGCTCGCAGTCAACAACACGCATACATTCACCCCTACGACTCCCAGTGACATGGCCGCCGTCGGAGCATACTTGCAAACTTCGCAGTCTAGGTCATTTTTCAATCTTCCAACTTGGATTTGCCCATGCATGCATGGCTGATGCGCCGATGTCGATGAGTCGTTGAGTTTGAGTTTGCAAATTCATTGGGTTACTGGAGGTTACTGGGAAGGGATGTTGAGACTGGTTGAGCGTGATTCTGCAAATGCCGGTCGGTAATTTCCTTGATGACGCGCTCCGCGTCAAGCCGATACCACGCACTTGTCGGAGCGCGTGATGATGAACCTTTCTGAACCTTCCTCCGTTCTTTCTGCTGGGCAGCCTTGGGTAGCTCAGCCTCGTACAGTATCAATCTCAGTGCGCCATGAAACTCCATGACACTTGATGTCTCACACGCAAATGCTCTACTTGCAAATCTCTCAAATTTTGTGGAAGTTTACGGAGAGCCAAACTCGAGCCAAGAACGCAGGATATTGGCCCCATCACGGCGGCATCGGCGAGCATGAGGTGAGACCGGGTTCGTCAAAATCATGCACTCAAGATTGGTACAACATGATTGGACCTGCTCTATTTATCAAACCTCATCCCGCATCGGTCATGATAGATCCGTATTTTTCTGCTCCACAGGTGCAGCCATCTTTCCGTACCTAAGCTCTCCCTCCGGAGTCCCGTTCGTATCCTGCAACCTGCCGAGGCTCACTAGCACGACAACTTCCCTTCCACCACCATGTCGACTGACCGGAGCGAGACATCGACGATGACAAGTGACGATGAGGAGCTCAAGATGTTGGGATACCAGCCTTCTTTCAGACGGGAGTTCTCCAATCTAGCTACTATCAGCTTCGCGTTCAGTATTATGGTGCGCCTGCCAGCTCTCTGTTATCTTGCAGAAGCTTATTATTCGTGGTCCGTCGCGTGCAGGGCTTATGCTCAAGCGTTGCAACCACGTTCAATACCCCCCTACTCTCTGGAGGTCCTGCCTCGGTGCGTCATAGTGCGATCTCCTCTTGCCCTCAGAAGTTCATTTCTCTCCACTTGATGCCGGTAAGGTAACATGGTGCTGGATCCTTGGCTCGTGCATGTGCCTCACCCTCGGATCGAGCATCGCCGAGATCGTCTCCGCCTACCCGACTTGCGGCGGGATGTACACGGCATCCGCGAAACTCTGCCCCGAGAAGCACCGCGCCATCGTAGGCTGGGTCGTCGGTTGGCTTAGCGTCATCGCTCAGGTCGTCGGTCTCTCCTCGTCCGAGTTCGGGCTTGCCAACATGATCCTTGCTGCTGTCTCGCTCGCGCGCCCCGCATACACGGTAACTCCCGGGCTGACCGTCGGAGTGTTCGCGGCACTACTGATGGTGCACGGGGTCCTTAACTCGGTCGCGACGAGGCATCTGGCGCTTGCCACCAAGAGCTTTGTGTTTGTGAATCTCGGGGCGACTTTCGTCATCATTATCGTGTTGCTTGCTACAACGCCGCGCTCGGAGATGCACTCTGCGAGCTATGTGTTTGGCGGTGAAGGTATTGTCAATGGAACTGGTGGATGGAACACCGGTATCGCGTTCTTGCTTGGCTTGCTCAGCGTTCAATGGACGGTGCGTGCTGGAGACGATGTTCGTATGCACATGTCTCTCATGGATCACGTAGATGACTGTAAGTTACATGCTCAATACATGCCTCATATGTTCGAAAATCTGAGTGTACTCGAGGATTACGACGCGACGGCACATATCTCGTAAGATTGCTTTTAATGTTCTCGTGCTTTCGTCGTAAAGAAGTGAACTACAGAGAAGAAGTCCGTCGAGCAGCTTACGCAGGTCCGTTCCTAGTCCCACTCTATCGGAGCTCTGCACGTTCTTACACGACTACTTTATATAGCGCCCTCCGCCATTTTCATTGCGGGTAAGTTCGTTCGTTGATGCTTGCATGTTATCCACACATTATGCTTACCCATCAATTCCCCGTAGTCATCGGCACCGGGTTATTTGGATGGCTCTTCAACATCGTGCTGATTTTATGTTCCGGACCTTTGTGAGCCTTATATGGCGTCCTTTTGCTAGACGAATCCTCACTTTGTCCACAGGGATGGCCTCCCAGGACCAACCGACTCTGCCGTTTTGCAGGCAAGTTACTCGTCAGGGGTATTCCAACGATGATCCTTACCTCATTGTCCGATTCAGATCATGGCCAATAGAATGGGCATTCCCGCTGCGCTGTTCCTCTGGGTGAGCAGGTCCTCCTTCGAACGAGTGAATTAGCAGTACTGAAACATTTCCATCGAAGAGCTTCGTCTGCCTCACAGCCTTTTTCGTTTGCCAGACTGGGCTGCAAGCAGGCTCGCGCACTGTCTACGCTTTTAGTCGCGACCACGGTTCGCCACAATTTGCATTACTCACCCTCGCTGGTGTCTCGTCTCATCTCCCTTCTAACAGGCCTTCCGGACGGAGGCTACTTCGGCGTGGTCTCGCGCTCGACTAGGACGCCTCTTCGCGCTATCTGGTTCACGACTGTCCTCTCAGTCCTACCTGGGCTGCTCGATCTCGCGTCACCAACTGCGGCAAATGCGGTCTTTTCTGCTACTGCTATGGCGTTCGACACGAGTTACATCGTGCCTATTTTCCTGTAAGGTTTATGGCCTTTCCTCCGTGAGCATGTAGCTGATGAATTTTTTTCCCATGCGTGGCTTACTGCAGGCGCCGAATGTATGCGAACCATCCCGAAGTCAACTTCAAACCCGGGCCGTTCTACATGGGTGACGGCCTGCTCGGCTGGGCAGCCAATATCACTTGCATAACGTGGACCCTCTTCGTCTGCGTTATATTCTCGCTGCCGAATGACATGCCCGTCTCACCTGAGAACATGAACTACTCGTCTGTGATCACTGTCGGTGTTGTCGTTCTGAGCTTGTGCGTACTTCCTTCTTCTGCATAAGAATCCTATGCGTCTCCACTATCTCTGCTGACCCCATGCGATACATATAGGATGTGGTACTTTGCTGGGTGAGTGTGATATGTTCTTTGGTTGGTAGGAAGGAGAATTTGGTGGCTAACGGTTCATGTCTGGGGATGTGGATAGCGCACGGAGGTATTACCATGGTCCACAATCAAACCTCGCCTCATCCGTGGACAGCAAGGATGCCGATGGTATTCGTATTGATGAAGATCTGAAGGAAAAGGCTTGAGAAACTGGTATGTGTGCATTGATACAGCCTATAGAGGTTTAGCAACTCGTCGTGCGCTGCAATGACTTAATTTTGGCCATCGACGTTCCTTTCGTTGATTTGTGTGGATTTCAGTCGTATGTGTTCTGCGTACGAGGTGTTTAATGCATTATGGGCGGTCCTTTCTTTGTCTTTTACCATGACTATTCTGTTGAAATGTTTTGAATACCTATACGTATACAATGGCTAATGAGTGTTCGCGACAACATCAAAATCTATGTATTAAGCCTACACTTCCCCTTGAGGTTAATGCACCCTGCAGAAGCTCTAGGTAATCTGCGAGCCCTCGCTCGTAATGCACAAGAAACTGCCTTTTGAGGGCGTCGTGGTCGTGCCTGTTCGCCTTTAGATACTTTCTCCGACTGTAATCTACTAGATGAGTTGGTTTTGTTTGCCAGTCGGTAAGGAATTGGTGGCAAAATGGGAGAAAAAGGACCATAGTCTTCAACTTCTATTTCGTAGAGTGCTGTGATAGGATTGGAAATAGCGGATCCACTATGACTTACGCCTCCTGTAATATCTCTGCGCAGCTTTGCGAGCCAGAGTGGTACTGGTCCCTCAACGACGTGCCAAACCGCCGCCCAGACCGCAACGAAGAAAAATGATTAATGAGGGGCAGCTAGGAGCAGCTAGGCCATAACTTGAATATTTGAATACCAAGGGGCTGACCAACTCAGTGGTCGACCCCTTCGTATGACCTGGCTGATTGTAAGCACAAGGGCTGTACGATTATGTTGACTAAGCTGCTCCTAATACGACAGTTGCCCCTAGCTCTTCTTCCTAACCTCCACGTCTCCTTATTTTAGCAAGCGATGATGCGTATCGACGTCTTACCTACGTACATGATCATCACTAAATCGGGGGGAAAATTTCGGGGCATAAACGAGATTATCAGTGTTATAATATTACCGTTGATAGAATCCTGTATGACCGTAAATGGCGAGGATTCAACATTGGGTAAGTGTCAGCTCACAATATGAGAACGGATTATGGTAGAATATCATATCATCGGGATCTTACCATCGAGTACCATATGATTGCGAGCTTACCGTGGACCAAAATTCAAGGTAAAATCACTCGCGATAAGTGGGAGCATAACAAGCCGGATCTCATTTCGAAGGCAACATGATCATTCGATTATAAGAAACTGCTCATAAACCGGTTAGCCACTAACTGAAGCACATTGAGCAGTAGAAAACCGACCTTTACAATGCATCAAAGCCAGCCTCGTCAGCAAGCACTTCATCCTCACCCAAGAAACCTCCCTCATTCGCCTGCCCTGCAGCATTGGTCATCAGTAAAAGTACGGTGGGATAGCAGAGCAAGTGGGTGTTGCGAGATGGACTTGATTTGGGCGAGGGAAGATGACGGCTCGCAAGGCCTTGTGAGACAAACAGTCAGCTTGTTGTGGATCGTAAAAACGCGGCCAGCTTGCAAGGGAATTAATATGCTACTAGACACTAGGCTTCTTGGCTGCTGTGGTACTTTAAGCACCGAGATTTTTGATCGTCGCTCTCCTCAAAGTAGGTTAAAGAAGCTTCTTTTTAGGTGAGTGATAATGACGAGCCGGACTTGTGGCAGATGGAATCTCTCGATGACGTGCAGAAAGAAGCTTGCTCGAATTCCTTTGACCCGGTGCAGCAGGTGGTCCGTGCACACGCCAATTTGCGAGGTTCAAGAGGCTTCTTAAGCTAAGGGATTCTGTACCGTCTCCCTGCTGCCCTTGCTTCCCTCCCACCATTACCATGCCTCAGTACTAAGTCTTCGACGTGACCACGGTAAGTCCATCTACCCTAAACTTTCAATTGCAGCAGCTGACACCTTTCAAGCTTCAAGCTTCAAGCTTCGAGGATGGCAACACCGCAACAAGCAAGGCAATGCTGACCGCCAACAGTGCCCAGTCTGTGGCGCATCCTCGTCGTTGTCTGCGTGTGCAGACAAGTCCAACTCGTCCCACACAAATGTGCAGGACCATGTGCATGGTGCGTTTCCTATAATGATTTCCACAATCAATACTATTTTCATCTAATGCTATCAGGCCGTTCGCAGCACTTGCATAAGTAGTTTTTATCGGGTCAGTTCATGGTACGTACTTGCTTCTAGCACATATCTCTGTTGCTTTGTGTACATGCCTTTTCTATGCTCTCGTATTGGACCCCGATCATTTGTATTACTGTTTGATATTGATGTAGTAGTATTTGACTGTTATATCAGACAATCAAACATGCTGTTCCATACTTCATAAAAATTGTGTGGGCCTCCAACTCCTTATAATATCTGTGAATACCTGTATGTTGTTATCATGCGGCCTCTGCTGATGGTAAGATGGCGCTTATATTATGATAGATGTGAGTACCCATATGTTATTATCATGCCGTCTCTGCTAATGATAACACACCCCTTTGAGTAGATAATAGATTCTTCGCTATGATCATATCCCCGCGATCTTTCCTGTATGCTAAAAACGGACTTTACATGCTACTAATGTCGGAGTCTCACCATTTACCCGGTGTATGTTTGTCATGATCTGTGATGTCGGTCAAGGTCATTTGCTTATCATTCATCCCCTCATTTAGTGATGATAGGCGATCAAGTACCTCAGTAACTTGCAACAAACACTCAGTACGCGAACACATTGGCCATGGTTGCTCCCATCATTCTACTGCCCCCGGAGCTACTATCCCTCATCTTTGAGGCTTGTGTAGCCCTCGCACACAATTCAGGTTGGTGTCCATGGCAGGAGCATTGCTGCAGTATGCAATGCCTTCGAGGTTGGATTCACGTAACCCAAGTCTGTCGCCATTGGCGATCTATCGCACTCGAAAACTCGCCCATATGGAGTCGTCCAATTCTCGCCTGCCAACAATGGGCTCAGGAGATGCTTGCACGCTCGCGCGTCTCCCCCCTCACGGTCACCACCTTTACACCCCCCGGCTCTTGGTCAGACGAGGAGGTACCTAATCCGTCTCTCAAACAGTTCGTGATGGACAACCTAGGGAGAATCAAGGAACTCGTCATACAACAGCCTTACATCAACATTCCTGATGTCATCATTGAAACAGCGCGTCCTCGCGGCAGCCAACCTCTCGCCCTTGAATCGCTCAGCTTGTTGTGCGATGGTTCTCAAAGGCAATGGTCTACCCGGCCTGATGTGAGGCTGCTTCGCGCACCCAAGCTCAAACGGCTGCACATTTCCTCGCTCCCTTACCTCTCTATGCGTCCGTCCACGTTGGGCGGTATGCAGAATCTTCGCGAACTATCCCTGGCGCGTTCGCTCGGACAGCTTGGAGATCTGGAAGGTCATCGCATTCATCTGCCGCGGCTTACTCGCCTCAACCTTGAGGATTGGGTAGATCGCTGCCAACGCTTCTTTGCCATACTTTCGGTGCCAAAGCCTCTCGAATACATTGGGATTGAGGCGACTCATAATTCTTACGATAAGTCATTCGACCTCTTGTCTTGCCTGCGAAATACTGTCAAGAACAGTCATCTATCAGAAACAACCACTGCAGAGGGTTCGCTCCGAGTCAAGTCACTGAGTTATCGCTACGCAGTAGCTTTCAGTACTTACAAAAGGCACCTCGTCAGAGATACTACCTCCGCATTCTTATTCGGCTCTGTTCGTGATGAAGCAGCACTCTCCGGTCTCCGCAACAGGATTGTCCTTTCTGCAGATAGTTGCGGCTCACGTTGTGACTTGTCCAATCCCGGTATCTTTGCCAGCAGTGCCCTCGCCATGAACGTTTGCCAGCTCACCTCAGAAGTCTCTGGGTTATTCCCGCTCCGTTTTGTTGTTTCGCTGTACGTTCTTGCCGGGACAGACCATTATCGCCGTGGCAGAGACTATATCTCTTGTCAAGAGCTTACTGAGATACTCCGGGCGGCACCGTGCATCCGGTACCTGAGAACGTGCATGGTGCGAATCGAAGAAGTCGTTCGGGCACTATCCCCTTCTTCATCAGCAGATGGTGATCTTCTAGTTCTCGCTCCTGAAGTGAAGGACCTTACTCTGGACTGGATCAACTTTTTACCTGAAGATCAATACGTGCAGCCGGAGGAGTCGAAGGTTTTCTGGTCCTTGGTACCTTGCCTCGCCGCCCGCTCTCGTTGCGGTTCTTCGCTGGACAAATTGGAGCTTCGGAGATGCCGCTACTTGAGGAAGGAAGAGAAGAAGGGTATAGAGGATCTTGGTATCGACTTAAAGATCGTTGACCAGAAGAATAGCGCGAAATCCTGCTTTGACACGTACGCTTACTGAAGTAATGAACTTATTTTGCCTCGTCGCTCATGCACATGTACGATCAGGATACTATGTCAGCTACTGTCTGTATAATTATGCTTACATCAACCCTATTTTAATCTTGCTCGAATACGAGAGTTTACTTGAGCTTTATCAACAAAATCTCGATAATGATAGTTTGATGCATCTTAGGTGATCTCAAACTTCTGACAAGCAAGGACGATAGTAGTAGATACGATTCAAGTGACAAACAACTGCTTAGTTTGCACCAACAAACGCTACCTCCGATATTGTCTAACCGGAATTCTCAGTCCGCGGTGTGTCACAGGCATTGAAGCGGAGTGCGTAATGGTGCCATAATTTATGCCAACGATCAGGAAGACATGGGCATCCCAGGGATCGGCGCCGTGATTGTAAATGTAGGAGAAAGCTATTATTATGGCATCACTGTTAATCCAGTCTATCATAATTCTATCAAGGTGATCGCGACGTGTCACCGTCACCGTCCGACTGCTCGGCAACGTAATGCGACATCGTCCACCGCGTCTCCCACTCACCCTGCTCCAGCCGCTCGCGCAGGTGCGCCAGCGCTCTGTCGTCGAATCGCTCTCGCAGCTTCTGACCGTACTCGTGCTTGAGACGCACGAGAAAGGTCGCAAAGTGGAAGGCCGACAACGGATTCCGAAGATCGAACAGGATACCGTTTCGCTCCGCGATTTTGATACGCTGTTCCAAAAGACCAAGTATGCAATAAGATCGGCATGTGAAGTGTGAACGGTTGAGTAGAGAACCGACCTGAAAACTCCCGAACTTCTCGGCCCACGCGCACGTAAGGACTACACGGCACCCGTCCGTTACGAGGCTGAAAACGGGGATGTCAATGAGCCCGACAGCCCCAAAGAACGTTGCGGCGGCAGTTGCAGTCATCCGGTGCTTGTGTGACCCAACGTACGCGAGGATCTTTTCAGGGGGCGTGTGGTTGACGAGCAGTAGAGGAAGTTCAAGCGCGAGAGACTGCTCTGCGGTGGTCAAATTCTGAGCACCTGGCCGCTCACTCTCGCCTGTGTGATCGGGCGCCAGCGGTGGAGGGTGTCCGACCTGGTACTTTTGCAGTTTGCCGTCGGGCCATTGGTACGACAATCGACAGACGGTCGGAGGAGCCGAAAGGACGCCGATGTCGAGAGAATCTGGAATTTCGAGAGACAGGCCGGCGGAACGGACGTTCGCATAGAACAGATCGTACGCATATGCGAGCTCGGAGTGCTCAGAGGGAAGGTCGCAGATGCCGTGATAGTAAGCTGTCCCACCGCGTGCACGCGCAGTCGCCTGGTCCGGCTCACGAGGGAACAGACAGAATCTCTCCGCAGCATGCCGAAGGGCAACAGAAGAACCACTGCTGACAAAGTCGGGTATGGAGATCGTCGACACCACATCGCATATCGCTTCGACAGGGTCATTTGCTACTAGGTCCAAAACCCCCTCGAAGCCATCCTCGGATGTGGTGCCATGACTGAGACCAGGGTGGAAGGCAAGGTAAAGGCCAGCACCTTCGCTGCGTCGCGATGCTCACACCCGTAAACTGTGTACTGACTGATGGTGAATCTGGCCGAAGCTAGCCAGCCGGGATCCTTACGGCGGTCTGTAAGAGCACTCCTTGGAAGAGCGACAGTCGGAAGATACCTATTCCCAGGTGTGTGTGAGTCCGTCATGATCCCAAATAGCCTCAGCGTGCGCACCGCATGTTCGAAGGTGACCCGTGCAGAAAACTAGAGACCAGGCCGTCCCAGACGTGATCACAAGCTACCGGGATGCATGTACGCTCTGCAGCCTCGCTTTGTTCTCTCGCCGCCGAGCAAGCTACCATAATCATCTCAAACCTGGCTAGCAGGTCTGCAGCCGCATGCTCGCTCAGTGAGTCTGACATCGTGGTTGTGAGATAGGCCGACTTCTGTAATAGTAGCTCGCTTCTTAGTTGGCTGAGTTCGTCGTTGACAGTGGCCGTGCCTAACTAGATCACAGTCAGTATACGAGCCTGGCAGTTATACATATTGCATATAGAAACACACCGACCGATCCCAACTCTCGTTCCAGGCGAAACGGGAAAGAGACGCGTATTCTGGCGGAACGACACCCAAGTCAATAAGCGGTAAAGCTGAACGCAAAGAGGTAACGCGATTCCAAAGCCATCGATGAATAGTCATGTAGGGGTACTTTATATTAGGGATTCCAGAGGCGAGACTACCAGTGATAAGTGAGGCTGAATTGACGACGCTAAGGGACTTACTCTAAATATGTCCATCTTAGAGTTGGACCGATGTCTTGTGATTTACTTTGATATAGTCAGTAGTCGAGTTCAAAGGAAAATGGCAGACAAACCTAGCAGGCGTGTCCGCAGAAGGTTCCGCGGGTGGCAAAGATGATTCCAGTAGTAGAGTGCTATCATGGAAGGGGTAGACCTTCAGTGGAGAAGGATTACTGACGTATAATAAATACTACCTTCCATCAGTATCCTCAAGCAGGACCTCCTTGGCCCATGCTCGGACGGAAGCCATCTTGTCCACAGTTGTGTCTTCCATTTTGTCGTAATTGACAAAGTCAAGGCGCCATTCTAGCCAACGAGTTTCTTCTGAGAATTTCATGTTCTTGGCGAGCCCTCGAGAGAGATAGTCAACAAGTTCACGGGTGTTCGTAGGAGAGGCGAGATCAAACCAGCCAAATGCTTGAGTGTGGTCCTTCGACCAATTACCAGCAATGGCCACCAGCGGCTATGATACCAGGTTTAGGACCATCATTTCGTTGGTGCGCCTAGAGTACTTGTTTGAGCTATGACGTACCAAGCCATCTTGCCAGGTTGTACTAGGCCACGCAACGAAAACTTGTACCATAAGTGAACCAGATGAGAATCCAAATCCCACGGCCGGCTCTGTGATACCCCATGCTAGACGCTGATAAACGGCGCTCCTTAGCAGCGGGACGATGGCGGACTGATCTGCCACACAAACAATAGGAATCGAGTCAGGGTACTCTTGGTATCGCGCAAAAAGGGAGTACTGAGAGCTTGAGTCGACGTTATCAATGGGCTCCCAGCTGTATCTGACACGAGGCGGTGACTGAGAAGGTTCCCGGGACACGGGAAGCGAAGATGTTGTCTCGTGTTCGTGTTCGGACGCCCTAGACGCTGTCTCAGACCTCATATTCTCGGACTTGTCCGTAATATCACCAGGGCATTCCTCGTCCTAATAGCGAGTACAAGCGCGTCAATGATTGCTTGAGAGCATAGAACTGGTAGAGCGTACTGCATCGCCGATCTCAAACTCTTCTGACACGTCGTTCCGAACTGTTTGCATGACCAAAAGAGCTGCAGTGCGAGCTAGGGGGTAAAAGCGCGCCAAGTCGAGATAGTTGGGTATGCACGGTCTAGAAGTCGCAAAACTTGCATTCTCTCTGGCATCCATAGTCGGCATAAACACAATGTCACCAGAACTCAAACACAAACAGCATAAATGCGTCCGGCGCCGATGATTGTGTGACAAGGCGGATTAGGTTGGTGAGCCTTGCTGGCATGTCGAAAACGGTGTTTTCTTCTGTTGCGACGCCCAATGTAACTGATCCAAGAACACTTTCACTGCTGCAATGAATGACGTTAGGGGAAGACTCGGATGTTGAGTCAACTTGCCTACAGTCACTCAGCGCGGAAGGTAACCAGTCACTAGCTTCAGGTGGGCATACATCGTCACGAATAGAATGGTATAGGATGCTGGAGTTGTCTATATCCGGATTCATCACAGCCGCTATGACAAAATTGGTCGTGTCGGACGTGTCTTAGCGTGAGGTGCTGAAGGAGTATGTTTCGATGGACATATGAAAAGAGCAAGAACCAAGAGCAACGACGCGCGCTCAGCTCTTCGGCTTTTGCCGGACCGGCCATTAAGGACCAAGTTGTCGCGGACATTTTCTTTCTCTTTCGTTTCAGACTTTCAGTGCCAACAAGCTGAGGCTATCAGGTAACTGAACCTGTTTTGCGCACCAATCGAAGGGTCTACAATCTTCGAACCTTCGTGCAACATCTGCATCACTCCTGTTGATCAATAAGGAACAGCTTATTGTCCGCGCTTCGCGAACTTTGGACCGTACTTGGACCAGGGTCTCGACGACTCACAAAGATCATCAAAAGTATCTGGAATTACTGGTTAGTTCATTGATTTCCGACGTACTATGCAACTCCGATACTAAACTCAAAGACCAGCAAAGATAGTGCTGCCGCGATAACGTACCTCGACCTACAAATAACGCTCAGACTTCTGGCTTCGGTTCCCAGCGGGTTCATCGTGTAGGACTCCTAGCTCTGGTCGAGGTCAACATCGTACCGTGGGCAAACTCTTTCTTCCGCGGATGGAGGAACAGCGTGGGTGCGGCCTTGTCGGTGCCTTGCTTCACCTACACGGTCCTCTTGAACATCTGACGTCACGCCCTATATTTGGGTGGTAGTGGAAGTTGCTTAAGTGCTTCACTACTTATGACGCTGTTCACCGCTCATGCCACGGTCTTGCTTCGAGACTGATCCGAGCCTGACGTATCAGCGAGACCTGGGAGGTTCTTCCTGGTTTTGGTTAGTCTGTATTCTATCGGGTCTCAGCACGAGCCAATCTGCTCAATTTCAATGTTGCAAACCTTGTCCACCGCTGGCTCGCTGTCTTAACTATTCCCATGTTGTGACGTCACGTCGTACACCGGAGTCTGGAGTTCCCCCGGCTAAGCTTCTCTTAGATTTATACGCAGCTTCGAAAACCCAGCCCACTCTCAGGGCCTGACGGAAAATGACCATGGGCGTGTGTTCATGAGATTGGCGCGCGTGGTGATCATGCGGCCCGCCCGGAGTTCCGGGGCACCTTCCTCTCCCCAGGTTCAACCATCGACCTTCATGGCTGGCCTCAAGACCACACGGTGTCATTCAAGACTCACGGTGACGGCCGTACTCATCTGAGCTCACCTTCCTTCCCTTACGCATCTCTCAATAACGAAGATGTCGAAGACCGCTTCTTACCTCACCCAGACTCTGACTCTCAACACGGGCGCCAGCATCCCTATCGTCGGTACGTCATCCCAGCTTCATCTCCGCCGGCTTGCAGCGATCTCAATCAACACTCTGCCACCGTGTCTGCCTCATCATGCTTGTTCCTTCTTGTACTGTCCTCACTGTCGTGACTATCAGGTCTCGGAGTGTTCGCAAGCCGCGATCCCTCAGTGCAGGCGCAGGCTACGCCGTGGGTCCTCACTGCGCTCCAAGCGGGCTATCGGCATATCGACACAGCATGGATCTATGGTTCGTGCCCTGCCAATCTCCCCTCAGCCTGGAGCGGGGCCACTTGCAGGGCATTTCCGCAGCGCCGCTGACGTCTTGACCACGCTCCCTTTTGCCGTGGCTTCTTCTCTTTCTCGAAATTTCGATCGCACCAGGCACCGAGAAGCCTGTCGGTGACGCCATCAAGGCATCCGGGATCCCGCGCGAGCAGCTCTTTATCACCACTAAGCTTCCGTGAGTGTGTTCACTTACGTTAGCGGTTTAAGCTCAAGATTGGTGTAATACGCTTGAACGTGTGTGTGGCTGACGTCTGATTTATGTAGGTGGAATCACACGCAGCGCGTGCAGTGGTCTATTGATCAGAGCTTGAAGAACGCCGGGCTGGACTATTTCGATTTGGTGAGCGCTGAGCAGTCCGGTCCGGTCAAACTGACTTTGCAGTCGCTGATGCGTGCTTTGCGTGTCTCAGTATTTGATGCACTGGCCACATAGCGTGCACTTTGATGGTGAGAACCGCACTCAACAAGGATGAATAGATGACATGCTAATCCGCTCGCTCGCAGAGAATGAACCCCGTCCGCGCAATCCAGATGGTCAGCTCAAGCTCGATGATACGGTGGACTTCAACCACACGTGGGCCGAAATGGAAAAGGCGCTGGCGAGCGGCAAAGTGAGGGCGATCGGTTTAAGCAACTTCTCAATCAAAACGTGCGTTGACGCTGCTTCTCGAACTTCTATCATGCCCTTCTGTTGTAGCTGTCATTTTTCTTCCGCTTTGAAAATGCCGTGCGCTTCTCAGCTTCTGCTTTGCGCCTTTTGACGTTGTTATCTAGCGATAAGCTGAGCTGACTTTCACGATGCACAGATTGGAAAAATTGTTCACAACGGCCAAGGTCACACCCGCCATGCTCCAGATAGAGTGAGTCGGAAATACCGGTGCACATTTAGACCATTTGTTTTTCCTCTCGTGCTACGTACATTCCATTTGATCGCAGTTGCTGACTGTCACCTCCTTGTACCCGGACGCGGCACTGCACGGCACACTACACTCTAGACTCCACCCATACCTAGCGCAGAATGACCTGCTGGAATACTGTCGCAAAAAGGGCATCCTCGTCACTGCATACGCTCCCACAGGTACGTGCGCCATCGCCGCCACCATCATCAGCCGCTGACCGATTTTATGCGCTCCGCACGCACCCTCGCCGCTCTCATCGCGCGCGCTGTAAACGCCATTGACTGGCCCCATTCTCGATCACGAACGCACCGGGCAGGCTACTCCACCGTGCGCGACGACCCCTCCGTCGGCCAGATCGCGCAAAAGCACGGCGTGACGCCCACGCAGGTCATCCTCTCGTGGCACGTCGCGCGCGGCGCGGTAGTCATACCCAAGAGCGCGGACGCGCAGCGCCAGATCGAGAACAGCCAGGTGAGCGCGACTCGAAGTCGTGAATCCCATTCAGAATATTATGTGCGTCCCTCGTGTGGGTGCTTGTCCCTGGCGGCAGCAAATGGCAGCCGGCCCTGGGGCTTCCTGGGGCCCTGATTGCTGGTGATGCCGATCGTGCGGTGCCGCTAAGCGAGCGAGTTGAGCAGCTGCTTCCGACTCCGGCGCCTAGCGCTCCGTATCGTCGCCGGCAGACGCCGGTGGTGAGAGCAGCACAACATTTGCAGCAGTGTGCGTGACACAGCGAACCTGGCTGCCGTTTCGACGATTTGACACCTAGTGGACATATATTTCGTCCGGTCCCGAGCGGACGGGAAGCTAGCCATATGCACACCAGAGGACGTTCTGGCTGACTTTGAATCGCAGCTCTTGACACTTGACCCGGAAGATACCCGGGTTATCGATGCGCTTGACCGGAACGAGCGGGTGTGCAACAAGCCAGACGAGCACGGAAACGTCTGGGCGTGGTCCATGGATCGCCTCGGATGGGCCAGCTGAATATGTCACAATATATCAATAGCGCACATCCATGGAGTTGGCGGAGCAGAAGGAACGGGAGCAGGTGGTAGATGCAGGTGCTATTAGGCTTGCTTTCCCCAAGATTACATAGATGTATTATCATAACGGTAGGCGAGCTGCTAGTGTCCTTGAGTCGACAGCGAAGCACGGGTGAAATCGAAACGCGGATCATTATCGTCATCAGTGTTCGAATAAAGCAATGCGAGAGCGACTGGATGGATGGTATATGCATGAGAACCGATAACGTCATAACAGGCAGAGAGGAAAGTAATCAACATTAGAACAGCTCAACAGCTGGCTGTCGTCAAGGCATGATTTAACCTGTCAGAAAAGACCCTCGCTACTTGACCCGAAGAATAATCGTACATCAACACAACACAATGCACAAGAGCTCCCCCATTCCCATGGAGAGAGAGGCAAGGCACTCCAATCAAAATCCGTCCAGGCAGTCGCCAGGCGATGAATCAAGGGAGCAATTTGATAATCCCTTGCACAGCGAGAACGACGTATAGCTGGCATCGTCGCCAGCCACCCTGGCAGCCCCACTCCGTCTTGAAGACGGCTTGCCATCCTGATCCCGGTGTTTCCGGCGTTTGGGTTTGTCGTCAGAGGAAGGAGGATGGGGCAGGAAGGAAGGATTAGAGGACGCATACAGATTTGACCCGTCATCGCACGGCGTCATGTTAGGGAAGCCCGTGTTGCTCGCACGGGCAACCCGAGGCCGCGGTATTGACGGGCCGGACGCCAGAGTCACGTTCAATGAGTCGGGAGGGGGGCTCGTGAAGCCATCACTCTCGTCCGACTCTGAGGAGACATCGGGGATGAGCGAGGGCATGGTATGCGGGATGGAATGATTTTGGTGTGAGCGGTAGTCCAACTCGGTGCCGGTATACGTCCTAGCCATGGGAGAGGAGGTACGACGATGATGTTGATTTTGGGATGTTTGTGAGACAAGGGCTGCCCTCGGATGACAATGGTCGCTGGAGCGGTGCAACAGGCGGCGAGCAGACTCGGCAGAGGACCCGCTGGAAGAAGAGTCGTCTAGGTTATAAGTACGACCTGGACAGCCGCGTTCGGGGAGGGCGCAGTCGTTCTCCCCGACAACAATGGGTGATCTGTCATATGTTGATGGTGAATGGACGAGGTGGGTCTTTGCGAGAACGGGGGATGGGGGGAAGTGTACTCCGTGAAACCTGTCCGGAGAGCAGTGGGAGGAAGGGTAGTCGCGCGACGTTTGGTGCCGTTTGAGAATGGGGCGGGGGATGGCGGCAGGAGATGAGGAGGGGTACATGGTGGGGGGCTGCGCGTGGATGTGGATGTGGTAGCAGCAAGGGAGGAGTGACACGAACACCGACACGACTGGGTAGGTGCTGTTCGACGTCAGAGACGACGAGGGGACTGGTGTTAGCAGGTAATGAGCATGGTGGTAGTGGTAGGAGTATAAGAGTCTGGCTGAGGAGAGATGCGAAAAGGAGAGAGGATAAGCCGCTGGCAACAAGGTTCAACAACCTTTGGATCTCCTCCGGTCGACCCTTCCCGGCACCTTTCCGGCTTCCCTGTCATCTCAAATTTTCAGCCCCGATTCATCCCAAGCGAGATCCCGAAGATTTGCCTTTTCCGGTACTGTGGGTCCGGCCCTCCTTCGTTCCTCGCCCTCGGAGACGGTCGGAGAGATGCGGCACCTGAGCGTATTTCCCTTGACGGCAGAGTCACCCTCCAATCCATGCGTCGTTCCCATCTGCCTGCGGGCCTTCAACAGAACTCAAATAATTTATCCTCATACATGCCTGGCGAGGCGGCGTATGACCGAGTATCCATCACACCCCAAACGTGTTTGAAAACGCATCGCTCATTCCACCCGCAAATGGTTCGCTCGCTCATTTTCAGTGCTTGCAACGTGCATTCAGCTGGCCCGAAACACCGTCAAATGAAATACCTGCCCTGAACTGCTGCTGTGTCTATGGGCCGTCGAAGCTGGTCCGCAACTAGCTTATGCCCGATTCCCGAGATTCAGAAACAGAATACCCTAGAATAACTTTGCCATGCCATCGCCGAGCTGATCGTTCATACATGCGCTTGCTGATCGTACGCTTTCGATGGCATCGCTTGCGATTATTATTCTCAGCTACAGTACAAGTACGGGCCTCGTTCCACCCGCCCGAACAATGCGCGAGTTCGCGCGATCCTCCCGTTTGGACGCCTTATCGACCTATCGCGACGCGACGTGCTAGCACAATACAAATGTCTCGCCTCACAAATATGTATGGCGCTCTGCGTCATCCATTCCTCGTCGTCGTCTTGGCTGATTCATGTCCGTGCGTGTCTGCAACAGACGCTTGAGCTAGCCGGGGCGCGCACAGGGATACGGTGGTGTCACGGTCTTGGGCAGTGTATAATTAGCTCTTGGTCGCGTCCGACTCGCTCGTCCCGAGGCTTCCCTGCTTGTCTTGGCCTCTGAGATCGGAATTGCCTTTGTCAGAACGCGAACAAACTCTATCTTGCTTGTCGAAGGCCCACATCTCGTCACCTCTTTCCTTCCGCAGCCCAGCGCGCCTATTCACGTTCGTCCTTCCCTTGGGACCTATCACAGGGCGCGGAACAGTGCCAGCGCACTTCCAAACTTGGAGAGTTCATTTTGACGACCTCTTGTCCTCTGCCATGACACAAGATCGGCTACGTACTTGTGGCAAAGACTGTACCTTCCTAGTCTTATATCGGTCTTCTTCTGTCTTGGTGAAAGATCTGCCTCTACCTAAAGCTGAAGCCAACAGCTGACTCAGGACGGTCCTGGGCGGCATGGAAGGAATCTTAGACTCGAAACATTCGGTTTCGCAAAGTTTCCGTTTCCACGTTGGAGACGCGCGGGCCCATCAGGGGCCATCAGTAGCTCCTGTGGCGAAACTCCCTCACCCCCGCGCTAAGATAGGTTTACGCGCCATGCAAACTTCATGATGCAACCCCACCCATGACTTCTGGTATTGAACCCAACTTGCATCTTATCTCGAGTACACGGTTATCACCCTCACGCAGAAGCGCTTTCCTTGTGGCCTACCGAAGTTCATGTTGCCGTTGACAGCGCATGTATTGACTTTTGGGTTAAGTCACTGGCGGTTTGCCTTAGGGCCCCTTCGATGGCGTGTAGAACTTTGCGTTACGACACAGCAACACCCACAGCCACCCACAGCCATATACGCGCCGCCAGAGCCGGCCCGGTGGAACGCCGACGGGTACAGTGCCTTTTCTTCTGTCTCATGATGCGCCTCCCCCTTGCACACGCCCGAAATTAAATCTCCTGGTAAGCCAGAATAATCTGTACGAGGCCGTCTGCCGGCTGCTAACAAAGTCTCTTTGTCAGACAAGCTCAAGCTCCGCGACCTCTGATGTTGGTCACAACACTCAGTGCTTCAAGTTGCTAGTGCGCATATGGCATTATCTAAATGTGCATCCGAGCGACACGGTCATGTGCACTCTTGCACTGGCCAACGAGCGACCGTCCGTTCGTCAAACGCGGCCAGGCTCTCCTACGCGAAGTTCCTCCTGTCGCCCCGGACTTGCACGTTACGTATGTGAAACCCGCGTCTGCGGGGGCCCGCGGGTGGTGTGTATGTAAGGACACTCGGGCTTGACTAGGGCAGGAAGCCCGATCGAGGACGACGCAATAAACAATCAGGCGATTCTGCCTCATCGAGGAAGATCAACGCGAGGGCAGAGCGGTTATATGCGTTCGAAGCGTGTTGGACGCGAAGCTTAAGTTACATAACCGTTCCACTTCGACTGCGCATACGCGCACGCGACGGGTCTGGGGGCGCCCTCTTTCGCCACGTGCGGACGTAAGAGAGAACAGATGATTGCCCTCCTCCTCTTGTCTTCTCATGATCGGGGTAATGTTGGCTGACCTTGGAGCTTGTCGGGCAGACCGGGTGCTTCTAGGTTTACGGTGGCGCGTCACCTGCGAAGGCACGCGAACGCGATCAGTGTTGTGTTTGACGAGCCTGCCCAAAATGTAACGCGTCGGATTTATGTGCAATCGACGAACCAGCTGTACCAACCATACGCTGATCCGGTCGGTCTAAACCCGTTGTGGGCTCAACCATGGGCACCTTCGCAGTGTCGGGCGTCGGTGTCATTAATATTACAGGGTAAAACGCTAAATACCATCAGCTGAGAGGTTAATACTCATCTGATGACAGGCTTCTCGTATCCAGGAATTTGGGGTCCAGTCGTTGGTCGCGGAATACCTTGGAGGTTTGGACATTTTCACCATTACTGTCACTGTAACAGTGTCCTCAGCTTCGTTGTTGAGCCTCAAGGAATCACGCCATACCAGTTTACGGATCTTTGCGCTGTCACAAGTGTCTGCCGTACCACCATACAATTCGATATTCTACTGTAGAATTTTCCACACAAGGCCCAAACATCGTCGTACGTCTCATTGTCGAACGTCCCTGACCTCGCAATCTTCCGCGATTATTCTCCGTGTCTGGTGAGCATTTGACTGGACAGGGCTAGATGCGTGCACAAACAGTATGATGTGCGCATGCTCATAGTGCAAGTATAGTCTTCGAAGCGCCGGAGAACTCCGTGTGAAGGATGTGCTCAATAATATCCACCACACGTTATAGGGCGAGCTATTCTACAAACCTGCGACCAGTGACCGATCAAGAGTGATCTGGTTTGTCCCCACATCGCTGGCGTGTGCTGATCTGCCCCCATGATCCACCCACTGCCAAGGTCACCGCGCGGAGCGAGGTTGACGAACTCCGGAGGGTGAGTGTCAGACGGAGCTCGGAGAAGCCAGTTCAAGTTGCTGGCTCAGGCTACCTATCAGAACACCAGCTGCCTGGCGACCTGAATGGAGCAACATGTGTAGTAGATATGGTCTCCATGCGCCGAGCTCGAGGACGCGGAGATTTAGGTTGGAGGTCTCATTCATTAATATGTGTTGATCTTGTACGAGCTGGGGTTATAGAAACTGGGGTTTGAATGGAAGGGCGCGGAGAGGCGCGGAGGTGGCACGGGCTCCACATATGTTCATATCACACCCCGCGACACAAGGCAGAGCTAGAGCTTGAAGGTAGACTTAGCTTAAGAGATAACGGGCAATCTGAGATACACATACGGATGGATCATCGGAGACTAACTAACGCACAGTGCATGCTCTTGAGTCTTCTCCTTTCTCCGCTTATCTTCACAAGACGCTGGCGGCATAGGTATGTACTCCGGAAAGATGATGGATGCCGCAACCTTGGATACGGCGCGGCAATCCTCACATCCAAGCTGTATGTACCTTCTCCTTTCTTTGCGTATCTTATCTCGAAGCGCTTGGCGACCGACATCGTGCGTTGGGCTAGGCACATTGTTCGTACATGCTGAGTACGAACTCCTCGGGCAAGCATGGCAACTTGCCTTCCGTCTCCATCCAAGCAACCATCTGCCACTGGTTCATTGCGGCTACTGGGCTACTCGCCCTCGTTTCTCAACGCAGCTAAGCCTTGTCGAGTATGGGACACGTCCAGAGGCGGTTGTCGATATGATCGGTCGCCAGGCTACTGCTAGCTAGTGCACCCCTCCACGCTAGCCTCAATAACCCCTCTGCAATGGACTGCGTTGTCTCCCGAGCGCGCTGTATTATACTGTACAAACGCCGCCCATGTCCTCCGGAGAGACGCCGAAACGAACCGTCAAAGAAGCAGTGATATGTTTGACGGGGCAGGAGGTACAACGTGAGTCCACGGCTCAGCTGACCGGCAGATAGAGGAGGTGAGACAAACCACAGGTATGTGATGAAAGATCGCGCGAGCGAGAACGCTAAGTCAAGCTTCAAGCCCAACTCCGAGGTGCGCGTGGGCGTCTAACTCGTGACCTCAGAAGCCCCTGACACGTTTGGATCCGGGAACACCGGGCACGAGTCTCCACTTCGCAAACATATAAATCCTGGAGTCTGGGCGTTCGTGCACCATGCATACGGGCGGTGGTAGATCCGGAAGTCCTGCAGCTGTCTGCTAATGATGTAGAATGTGAAACGTGGAGTTGGTGCACTGGAATTAGAGAATTGGTAGCTTGCTGGCTAGACGAATGGATATAGTGGTCGTACAAAAGGTGCGTGCGATCCACGAGGTAAACGGTATATACGGTATCATTTATGCAAGGAAAGGGCTATAAAATAACGCCAAGGAAAGAAAAAAGGATCAGGGAGCTCCGTGCCTCTCTGAAAACGAGAGCGGACGCATCCCTTTGGGCGAAGCTGAATACGGCCTGCACCTTCGCTGTGTCGCGTCGCGGGGGGTTGGGTCGGGCGACGGCGACAGAAGCAGCGGGGATTCGCCATCAGAGCTTGGCCGAGAGTCGAGAGTCGAGGCCAGGACGACGCTTGGATCTCAGGAAAGGTCTATTCCGGATCCAAAAGCCCAGAGCGACTGGATGGCCGTCGGTCATCCCGCGCTGCGATCAGGCCTTAGGCCTTCTCCTTCAACTCCTCGCTCTTGTCATCGTCTCTGGGCTTACCTCCTTCCGAGGCGTGCTCGACGTTGGACTGGGGGCCGTGGTAGTGCAGCCGTGCGCTGTGGGGATACGCGTTAAGTCCATGCAACTCTCGTTCACCAAATGCGTCAGTGTGCTTACCCAGCGAAGTACCATACCCTGTGCGAAGCAGAGTCAGTAAGAGAACGAGTTGAGTTGCCATATCAAGGTACGTACAAGCTCAGTACGATGACGCCGACCGTGATGACCGACGAGTAGTTCATGTTCAGCGGCGTGACTGGCAGATCGTTCGGCAGAGAGAAGATGATGCAGACGAAGACGGTCCACAGGATACAGGTGACGTTGGCCGCCCAGCCGAGCAGGCCGTCGCCCATGTAGAACGGGCCGGGCTTGAAGTCGACCTCGGGGTGGTTCGCGTACAACCGGCGCCTGCGCATGACAAAAGTGGTCCCGCGTGTGAGCAGTTAGGTCAGCACAAAGTGGATGACTGACAGGAGACGGGAACGTACAGGAAAATGGGAATGATATAGCTCGTATCGAGTGCCATAGCCGTCGCGGAGAAGATGGCGTTGGCTGCCGTTGGGGATGCGAGGTCCAGGAGACCAGGGAGGATAGAGAAGATCGTCGTGGCCCAGATAGCGCGCAGGGGCGTCTTGGTCGATCGCGAAACTTGGCCAAAGTAGCCAGCATCTGGAAGACCTGTTGACGCCCGTTTGAGTCTGCTCATACAGAACGGATGCGATGACAAGGGGAAGAAAGAGGATGAACGCACCGTGGTCTCGGCTGAAGGCGTATACGGTGCGCGAGCATGCCTGGAGCGCGGTCTGGGACACGAAGAAGGCAGTAAGGCATACAAAGCTCTGAATGCAGTCAAAAGCGTCAGATAAACTCGAAGTCCACGGAGGTGATGCCGATGTTACACACCCAGAGGAACAGGGCAGCTGGGGTGCCCATCCGGTCCGCCATGATCTTGCGGCGTGTTGATAAGCTGAAGATGATGCTACAGACTAAGTGGACAACTTACCTGGAGGACGGCGGAGCCCGTCGGACCAGGCAGGTTTTCCCTTTAGTTTGGTAAATTGATTAGCGACCGTGAGTCACTTGTCCTGCCAGGAACATGACCTGGAGATGCTTACAAAGGCCCAGAACATAGAATCAACACGATGTTGAATATCCAACCGATTAGACCTGTGCCGATAACTGTTGTGGAGCATCAGTGAGTTAGCCCTGAGTGTGGCCCGAAGGTTTAGAGGAGCCCGCTTACCGGCGATAAAGATAGCCGAGGGGGCTGCGCAAATTCACGTAAGAGAATAGACGTTTGGGACATGGGTTGGAGCAAACCTGCGTAAGCTGCCCTGCGCACTTCCTCCCTGTAGTCGACGGTTGTTTAATAATACATCACGAGATAGAGCTAAACTAAACCTTACGATATGTGGGCGGTCGCATCGTAATCCTCAAGGAGAATCACTCAGACTTTCGAACACGAACATGTATTCATAAGATAACTTACAGTCATCTACACGACGCATGAGAGACATGTGCCGATGACTGTCTAGCAAGCTTACCGTCCATTGAACGCTGAGCAGGCCGAGTAAGAACGCAATGCCGATGTTCCACCCACCCGTGCCGTTGACGATACCCTCGGTACCGAAGACATAGCCAGCGGAATGCATGTCCGAGCGCGGGGTCGTCGCGAGGAGCACGATAATGATGACGAAGGTCGCGCCGAGGTTGATAAATACAAACCCTTTGGTGGCAAATGCGAGATAGCGGGTAGCGAGTGAGTTGAGCAGGCCGTGCACGCACAGCAGGCCGGCGAAGAGGCCGACGGTCATGCCCGGCGTGATGGTGAACGAGGGGCGGCTGAGGGAGACGGCGGCGAGGATCATATTGGAGAGACCGAACTCGGTGGAGGAGATGCCGGCAACCTGGCCGAGGATGTTGAGCCAGCCGACGATCCAGCCGACGATGGCGCGGTGCTTTTCGGGGCAGAGCTTTGCGGAGGCCGTGTAGAGGCCGCCGCAGGTTGGATAAGCTGAGACGATCTCAGCGATGCTGGAGCCGAGGGTGAAGCACATGCATGAGCCGAGGATCCAGCACCATACGACCTGGAGGGTTGCGGAGTTACGAGAGAGGAGACGGAGGAGGTCATGTGTGTACGCACGGAAGAGGGTCCACCGGAGAGCAGAGGGGTATTGAAGGTGGTCGAAACACTCGAGCAGAGACCCTGTCGCCCGTTTGGCCAGTGTGAGCAGATATGAAGAGGATGGACGAAATTTTACAACGCACCATGATGCTGAACGCAAAGCTAATGGTTGCGAGATTGGAGAACTCTCGTTTGAAGGAGGGTTTGTAGCCGAGATTCTGCAGCTCATCGTCGTCGCTGGCCATGGTGGACGTCTCGTGCCGCTCTGGTGACATGATAGGAGGACCTCGACAGGTACAAGGGTGAACGAGTACAAGTGGGAAAGGAACTCAACGAAGGAAAAGCTGAGTGTGGAGCAAGGCAAGGATATTTATCACATCCGAGTCCGCCATGGATATGGGTGCCTGGGGATGCGATGCATACATCTTGACGCCCGTCTAATGGACCCATCAATTCAGTGGCAAGTCCCGGATATGACGTTGATAAGCGTATCTTGCTGTCCTTCTGTCTCTTTGAACATCCTACATCGCAATAACGTCTCTGTAAAGCAAACCTTGAGAGTTGATAGCGTGTCACATTTGTTCGAATCTCTTTGTCTCGAGCCTCCACCGAACCTCTTGAAAGCGATGGTCCGTCCCAGGCGGAGGAGGGATACGGCGCGTGGCGTCATTGACAGGGTGACATCCCGCCGGGTTTGTCCAGGGCCGCAAAAACTCCATATCCATGTGATATTGCATATTCTTGCTATCAGCCTTCCGTTTTTATGCTTGGCGTCGGGCTTGTTTACCAGCTACCTATAAGTAAAAGGTGGGTTCAGAAACTTCAAAATCCCGGCGCACTCACAACAGGTTGATGTCACGATAGATGTTTTGTGTTAGGGTGCTAGATTCTCGTATGTTTAAGTGGACTCTTAGCGCGTTGTGCGATGTCTTCGCGGTTGGCATGCACCACCATCATGCAGTCCATTTTGATGCGTGTGACACACCGCGGGATGAGAATCCCGGTCAGACGACCCCAAAAAATCTCCAACTTGTTGAGTCCTCTTGAACTAACGCATGATGCATGATGGCAAGTACATCATTGGCTGGGACCTGCGAGAATTCGTCTGATACCCTGAAGAATTGCAGTTAAGCAAAGAAGACCGTGGTGGATAGCGTTGGACTAGTAGCAGGACAATGTTCACTGGAGCCGACGAACGTGTGTGTGCGATGTAACCACATGCCGACAATTTGATCGATCGGTTTGTGGGGGCACGGAACCAATAATATCTTTGTTTGACGCGTTTGACGCGTACAGACGCGTGCGCGTCATCGAGGCACCGCGTCTTGAGAAGCACTAATGGTCACGGTTTTCCTTTACCCACACTTCCCCTCATCCATTTGCCTCTTCCTGACTTCTCTTCACTTGAAATCATGCCCGATAACCCGCACCTGCGCGGGTGCCCAGCAAATTGAACAAGCTGGACTTCCATGTCGATTCCTACAACAGTCCCAGAAGCGCCCCCAGACCAAGCAACAGAGATCATCTTGAGACGGCCATTCAGGATCCAGGTTATCAGCTCCAGCTAGAAAAGATGATGCTGTCAGAATTACGTCTAGTATTCGACCCTTTACGGCTTTATTGGTTCATCCAGAAGCCTCCTGTACGGCGATGTTCCTCTACGAGGTCTACAAGTAAACACCGCCTTCATACATCTATTCAGGCGCTTAGTATCCCAGCGGTACCTTAAGCGCTTACGCACTCGTGTGGCTCCGCGTTCATCGCATAGGGCCACGTTCTGCTTACGTAGCCGTCCCGCATTACCGTGGGACTTGGACTGCATAGTAGTTACGAATACGGTAGTGACTTCACACGCTCCTGTCATATATATACAGTCGCTACCATGAATATCATTTAAGTCTTCTCTCTCCACCGAACGACTACCATCGTCAGCTACCAGCCTAACCAGCTACTAACTCAACCTTCAACAACTAACTGCCCGGTGAGTTCGCGCTTTCATAGACTTCTATGCTATACTCGCGATCGTCCTTTGTCAGGTTATGAGCCCCGCGGGGCGCGGCGGAGCCTAGTACCTCAAGGCGGCTTAGTATGCCATGGGGGGGAGTTATTCGCAACGGTTCATCCGAAGCGTTTCCCCCTTCGCCCACTGGTTAACACCAGGGCGGCAGGAATCAAGGGGACACCCTCCTGTCATGTGT